TCGACTTCCTTCCCTTCACCTGCGACAAGTGTCGCATGGTCTTCTGTCTGTCGCATCGCATGCCGGCGTCGCACGAGTGCCCGCGTGCGACAGTCGGCGACGCTGTGGTGCTGCTGTGTCCGCTGTGCGCCAAGGCCGTGCGACTGGTGGGCGACGAGGACCCGAATGTGACGTGGGCTCGGCATGAACGGTCCGGATGCGATCCCAGCAACCTGCAAAGGTACGATAGGGTGAAATCCAGTTTGGTATTTCAGCAGCAATATGCAGCTGTGTACGCTGGACCCGGAAACGAAGGTGATTGTTTATTGAGCCTTGCCCCAAGCAAGCGCTGTTTTCTCACAACGCTGTACTCTCTCCCCTTACCCAACACCTTTCCCTTTCCTCCCTGCAGGGTGCCAACTGACGCCGGTTTGCAGCACGGGGTTGCTAGGAAATGTCCTTTCCCTGCCAACATTGTCACACCTCAACCCCCCACGTTTCCCTCTCCTCACCTCCACACCACCCTCTTTCCCCCCTGGTAGCCAAAAAGCCGCTGGTGCGCGGCACTGGGCTGCGAGGAGGTGCTCTTCCCGCCAACACCGCACCCTTCGTGTTCTATTTTCTCCAATATTCACTTCCTCACCTTTCCCCTTTCTTCCCCCCTGCAGGGTGGCCAACAAGCGCCGGTGTGCAGCGCAGGGCTGCAAGGAGGTGCTCTCGCCCGCCAACACCGTCACCTGCCGCGACTGCTCCCGCCAAACCTGCCTGCGCCACCGCTTCGGCGCCGACCACGCGTGCTCGGGCAGCCAAAAGAACTTGCAGCCCGTTTCGTTCTGGGCAGCTGGTGGGGCGTACAGTGAGAAGCTGATGGCAGGCGTGCAGGGCGCCATGGCAGGGCTGATGGCACCGGCTGGTGGTGCAGCTGGTGCTGGCAGCAGCAGTGGCGTTGGTGGCAGTGGTGCAGGCAAATCAGCTGGTAAAAATACCAGCACCGGGGTCAAGGCGTCGACATCAAGCAACAAGGGTAAATTGAGAAGTGTCGGTGCCAGCAGCAATACTAGCAGCAGCAACAACAAAGGCAGCAGTGGCAGTGGTGTTGGCGCAGCAGCAAATGACCTCAATACAGTGCGAGGGACAGCGGCAAGGCGTCAAAAACAGGGCGCAGGACAAGCGGGGTCAGCTGCAGGCTCACAATCTAGAGTGGGATCAGCAGAGCCACAGCAACCAGGTGCAGGGGCAGCCAGGGCTGGGGGAGGGGATGGTGGTGGGGGGCCAGAGGTCTGCCCTCAGTGTGGAGCGAGGTTTGGGGATGCTGTTGCATTAATTAACCATGTGGAGACTGCACACGCGCATGGGGGAACAGGTGTCAGCGTGCAGTTTGGCGGGAATGCTGGGCTTGGTAGTTCAGGGGCAGCGGGAAGCAGAAGCGGTGCAGGTCGGGCGGGTGGTGGCCAAGGGCCTGAGCAATGCCCAAGATGCGGGAAACGTTTTCCCGACCCTGTGGCTTTGGTTCGGCATGTTGAGAAAGATCATGAAGGCGCTGTGGGGACTGATAAGTGCACAATAAGCTGAGCTCAGAAGGCTTGGGCACTATTGAATAATATTATCTCATGTAACACTATTTTGTGGTTGTGATCATTCAGAAGTGGTGGAAGAACACTCCAGATTCTTCTTGTCAAAAGCTTGTAGGTTGCAGCGAACCATCTCGTATATCACTGAACCGCGCGCGCTGCAGGCGGTCCCACGGTGCGAATCGTTTCTGTATCCTGCCCATTCATTTTCCACGATGTTTGACTTTGCCTGGGGGTCACATCGAATTTAGGGCTATTTGATTGGCTCGGAGCGGCCTCTGCAACAATAACTCACCTATTTTACTCGTCAGCATTACCATCACTGACAGGAAATCTGCCCGGGTGAAAACGGAAATGCCCAGCCATCGTGTCTGTTCGCCGCATGTCTCCGTCACAGACACGAGCCGATGAGCGCACTCAACCAATCCAGGGTCTTCCTCGCCGGACTAGCCAAAACCAGCCCGAACCAGCAAATCCACACCTGAACCAACTAAATCCGGCCGAGCCAGCCTCATTCACCACACCCAACCACCACTAGTCCCCCACTTCAACTCGCGGGAGCCAGCCAAGCCTGCTCGAGTTTCCCAAAGCCTTGATGCTGGTTTCCCGTCACACGGGTGGGTTGAATGGTTCTCACTGCGTGTTCGCTCACTGCCTCAGGCATAAAGCTGTGAGGGTTCCAGCCAGCCAGACCCAGTCAACCAGACGTGGCAGCTGAATCCGTGTTGCTTTCCTGCCCTTACCGTTTGCAAGCTGACCGCTGGCGTCTAGGTTTCAGAGCTTGCCGAGGTAGGTTACTAAGAGTGTCGATATCTTCGTCCAGGATAAGACATGGTAGAGCCTTGGCGTATTAGGGTTAGGTCGTGTCGCAGCTTGTGACCTAAAGCCAACACGCAGTCGTTGACCGAGCTTGGAAGTCGATCCAAGGATTCCCCGTCCCCCACGATTCGTTGTTGCAACGTTTTTCGTCATAAGCTCAGTGAGTCGCGTTAATAGACGATGCTGGGAAACGTTAGAGTCCGGCACGTGGCGTGCGCGCTAGCGTGTCTCGCCGTCGCACTCTTAATCGCCGGTTGCTATCTTTCACGTGAGTATGTCGGCTCGTTGTTGCCGCGAGTCAGCGTGTCCATCGACTTCTCCGTGCTAGCGGCGCTGCTTATCGGCGCGACAGGCTCGCTAACCATCAACTTTCTCATTCAACGAAACTTCGCTCTCGTACCCATCTCCGCCGCTCCTCCCGCTGCCGCCGCTGCTGCCGGCGCAGCTGCGGGAGGGGTAGCGGGAGAAGCCGGAGCGGGCGGGGAAGCGGGAGCGGCTGGCGGAGAGGTGGGGAATCCAGGCCCTGGGCTGATGGCGTTCGACATTCCCGACAACGCCTGCTACTTCTGCGTCCGCCGCCCCGCCACCTCCAAATGCGGCAGCTGCAGGTCAGCGGGGGTAGGGAGCGGTACAGCAGGGTCCAGAGGCGTGTTAGGCTGCCGCAGATGGTAAAGGCGTCTTGGGCTGCTGCGGTCAGCCGGGATGGGGGTTGGTCCAGGCCCTAGTTTCCGGGATGGAAAGCGGTCCAGTAGGGCTTCAGAGGCGTGTTATGCTTCTGGATGTGGTAAAGGCGTGTTGGACTGCTGCAGGTCGTGGGGGGGGTAGGGTGTGGTCCAGTAGGGCCTTAAGGCCGTGTTACGTCTGCAAAAGCGAATGGCGTGGTAGGCTGCTGGAGGTATTAAGAGCACGCTAAGCTGCTGCAGGCGCTAACAACAGGTGTGGGTATTTGAAGCCGTACCTGCCTTTCTCCTAATTTCGTACCGCCCGCCACTCCCCATCCCTCACGCCCCCTTTTCCTCCTCCGCTTCACCCCCCTTCCCCTCTCCTCCCCGCCGCCCTCCTCCCTCCCCTTTCCCCCGCCCATTCCTGCTGTCTTCCTTCCTCCTTCCTACCCCAGACTGGTGTATTACTGCTGCCGGCTGTGCCAGATGCAGGCCTGGCGGAAGCATCGGCACGTGTGTGGCGCCGCGGCGGCGGCAGCGGCGCGCATCCAGCGCACGCGCGCGCTGCTCACCCCCTCGCAGTGGCGCGCGCTGGGCGAATTCGGGGACGCCGTGCGCGCACTCATCCCCGCACACCTGCTCGTCCCCACGCAACCGGACCTCGTCGCGAGCGCGCTGCTCAAAATCGCCGCGTACGTGCGCCAACGCCCGCACCTGGTGCAACAACCCATGGCGGACGCGGTGTGGGCAGCGGCGCTGAGCATGCGCGGGGAGGGCGCAAGCCCGCGCCTGTACATGGCGTGGGCGTGGGGGTTCTTGGAAGCCGCGGTTGAGTCCGGTTCCGTGGACGCGTTTCTGGCGGCGCTGCGGATTGACCCGGCGGTCGGGGGCGCGGCGGACCTTCCGCGCGTGAACCGGTGGATGAAGCGCGGGCTGTGCCAGGCGCTGCTGATGCTGAACAAGCGGCAGGAGGTGGGCGCGTTCTTCCGCCACGCGCCCCGCCAACAGCTGCTCTACTTCTAAACGCGATGAAACGGGGTGGAAGGAGTGGGGAGGGGTTGGGTGTGTTGGAAGAGGGTGCAAGAAGAGGAGAGACGGGAGCGTTCTTTCGCCACGCGCCCCGCCAGCAGCTCCTCTACTTCTAAACTAGATGAACGGGGAAGTGGGTTCGAGCCCCACGGGCGGCGCTGTTTCTGCTGGCGAGTAGTTATGGTAATTTCCCAGCGTCTACATAGTTTTTCCGAGGCCTCTGATTCCAATACATCAATAAAATTTATTATTTGGATTTATATAGAGTAGTCTCATACACGTTAGCACTCGCGAGTGGTATAATTTTATGCCTTCATTGATATGGCATTTACTGAAGATGAGTGTCAGCCTTAGTAGCCCGCCATAATTCCATTAGTGCTAGTCACGGCAGTATCAAGGTGCTCATTGGTGCGTACAGTCACGTCAGTGTCAGACTCCGTCACCTGTTCATTCTCCCGCCCGATGACATTGTGCGATGACCACCATATTCGCTGCTCGGTCGTACCTGATGTGATGGCGTAGTTTGTTGCTGCCAGCCCAACTCCCTTCACTCTAGTACCCCTGCTCACGACAGCCGACTGTCACCTGAGGCTGGCCGTATGCTCGTCTCATCGCGACTTTCTCGGTGCGTTTCCCCCGACGATTGTCAGGCAGAAATCGGGATCTGACCGTACGATATGCTGTCTTATGCGTAGACGCCATCGGCAGACATAGGCCTTAGCACCGACAGTCAGGTCTTTCGGTGCGCTGAAGACAAAAAGCCCCTCGGTTCTACTCCCTTCTGAAACAGCGACAACGGAGATGTATGCCTGAGTGCTCTGCCTTTACCGGATCCGGGGGGAACAAGCTCAGCTACTACCGCAGATTGGTCTCGCACCAGACGTACTGTTGATACGAGGTTATTTATAGTCTTTATATCGAGTCTGTTTGTACGGCGACCATGGGGACGCCCGCCTTTCCCGACCTGGGGAAGCACTGCTCGGTGACGTCATGCCAGCAGATCGACTTCCTTCCCTTCACCTGCGACAAGTGTCGCATGGTCTTCTGTCTGTCGCATCGCATGCCGGCGTCGCACGAGTGCCCGCGTGCGACAGTCGGCGACGCTGTGGTGCTGCTGTGTCCGCTGTGCGCCAAGGCCGTGCGACTGGTGGGCGACGAGGACCCGAATGTGACGTGGGCTCGGCATGAACGGTCCGGATGCGATCCCAGCAACCTGCAAAGGTACGATAGGGTGAAATCCAGTTTGGTATTTCAGCAGCAATATGCAGCTGTGTACGCTGGACCCGGAAACGAAGGTGATTGTTTATTGAGCCTTGCCCCAAGCAAGCGCTGTTTTCTCACAACGCTGTACTCTCTCCCCTTACCCAACACCTTTCCCTTTCCTCCCTGCAGGGTGCCAACTGACGCCGGTTTGCAGCACGGGGTTGCTAGGAAATGTCCTTTCCCTGCCAACATTGTCACACCTCAACCCCCCACGTTTCCCTCTCCTCACCTCCACACCACCCTCTTTCCCCCCTGGTAGCCAAAAAGCCGCTGGTGCGCGGCACTGGGCTGCGAGGAGGTGCTCTTCCCGCCAACACCGCACCCTTCGTGTTCTATTTTCTCCAATATTCACTTCCTCACCTTTCCCCTTTCTTCCCCCCTGCAGGGTGGCCAACAAGCGCCGGTGTGCAGCGCAGGGCTGCAAGGAGGTGCTCTCGCCCGCCAACACCGTCACCTGCCGCGACTGCTCCCGCCAAACCTGCCTGCGCCACCGCTTCGGCGCCGACCACGCGTGCTCGGGCAGCCAAAAGAACTTGCAGCCCGTTTCGTTCTGGGCAGCTGGTGGGGCGTACAGTGAGAAGCTGATGGCAGGCGTGCAGGGCGCCATGGCAGGGCTGATGGCACCGGCTGGTGGTGCAGCTGGTGCTGGCAGCAGCAGTGGCGTTGGTGGCAGTGGTGCAGGCAAATCAGCTGGTAAAAATACCAGCACCGGGGTCAAGGCGTCGACATCAAGCAACAAGGGTAAATTGAGAAGTGTCGGTGCCAGCAGCAATACTAGCAGCAGCAACAACAAAGGCAGCAGTGGCAGTGGTGTTGGCGCAGCAGCAAATGACCTCAATACAGTGCGAGGGACAGCGGCAAGGCGTCAAAAACAGGGCGCAGGACAAGCGGGGTCAGCTGCAGGCTCACAATCTAGAGTGGGATCAGCAGAGCCACAGCAACCAGGTGCAGGGGCAGCCAGGGCTGGGGGAGGGGATGGTGGTGGGGGGCCAGAGGTCTGCCCTCAGTGTGGAGCGAGGTTTGGGGATGCTGTTGCATTAATTAACCATGTGGAGACTGCACACGCGCATGGGGGAACAGGTGTCAGCGTGCAGTTTGGCGGGAATGCTGGGCTTGGTAGTTCAGGGGCAGCGGGAAGCAGAAGCGGTGCAGGTCGGGCGGGTGGTGGCCAAGGGCCTGAGCAATGCCCAAGATGCGGGAAACGTTTTCCCGACCCTGTGGCTTTGGTTCGGCATGTTGAGAAAGATCATGAAGGCGCTGTGGGGACTGATAAGTGCACAATAAGCTGAGCTCAGAAGGCTTGGGCACTATTGAATAATATTATCTCATGTAACACTATTTTGTGGTTGTGATCATTCAGAAGTGGTGGAAGAACACTCCAGATTCTTCTTGTCAAAAGCTTGTAGGTTGCAGCGAACCATCTCGTATATCACTGAACCGCGCGCGCTGCAGGCGGTCCCACGGTGCGAATCGTTTCTGTATCCTGCCCATTCATTTTCCACGATGTTTGACTTTGCCTGGGGGTCACATCGAATTTAGGGCTATTTGATTGGCTCGGAGCGGCCTCTGCAACAATAACTCACCTATTTTACTCGTCAGCATTACCATCACTGACAGGAAATCTGCCCGGGTGAAAACGGAAATGCCCAGCCATCGTGTCTGTTCGCCGCATGTCTCCGTCACAGACACGAGCCGATGAGCGCACTCAACCAATCCAGGGTCTTCCTCGCCGGACTAGCCAAAACCAGCCCGAACCAGCAAATCCACACCTGAACCAACTAAATCCGGCCGAGCCAGCCTCATTCACCACACCCAACCACCACTAGTCCCCCACTTCAACTCGCGGGAGCCAGCCAAGCCTGCTCGAGTTTCCCAAAGCCTTGATGCTGGTTTCCCGTCACACGGGTGGGTTGAATGGTTCTCACTGCGTGTTCGCTCACTGCCTCAGGCATAAAGCTGTGAGGGTTCCAGCCAGCCAGACCCAGTCAACCAGACGTGGCAGCTGAATCCGTGTTGCTTTCCTGCCCTTACCGTTTGCAAGCTGACCGCTGGCGTCTAGGTTTCAGAGCTTGCCGAGGTAGGTTACTAAGAGTGTCGATATCTTCGTCCAGGATAAGACATGGTAGAGCCTTGGCGTATTAGGGTTAGGTCGTGTCGCAGCTTGTGACCTAAAGCCAACACGCAGTCGTTGACCGAGCTTGGAAGTCGATCCAAGGATTCCCCGTCCCCCACGATTCGTTGTTGCAACGTTTTTCGTCATAAGCTCAGTGAGTCGCGTTAATAGACGATGCTGGGAAACGTTAGAGTCCGGCACGTGGCGTGCGCGCTAGCGTGTCTCGCCGTCGCACTCTTAATCGCCGGTTGCTATCTTTCACGTGAGTATGTCGGCTCGTTGTTGCCGCGAGTCAGCGTGTCCATCGACTTCTCCGTGCTAGCGGCGCTGCTTATCGGCGCGACAGGCTCGCTAACCATCAACTTTCTCATTCAACGAAACTTCGCTCTCGTACCCATCTCCGCCGCTCCTCCCGCTGCCGCCGCTGCTGCCGGCGCAGCTGCGGGAGGGGTAGCGGGAGAAGCCGGAGCGGGCGGGGAAGCGGGAGCGGCTGGCGGAGAGGTGGGGAATCCAGGCCCTGGGCTGATGGCGTTCGACATTCCCGACAACGCCTGCTACTTCTGCGTCCGCCGCCCCGCCACCTCCAAATGCGGCAGCTGCAGGTCAGCGGGGGTAGGGAGCGGTACAGCAGGGTCCAGAGGCGTGTTAGGCTGCCGCAGATGGTAAAGGCGTCTTGGGCTGCTGCGGTCAGCCGGGATGGGGGTTGGTCCAGGCCCTAGTTTCCGGGATGGAAAGCGGTCCAGTAGGGCTTCAGAGGCGTGTTATGCTTCTGGATGTGGTAAAGGCGTGTTGGACTGCTGCAGGTCGTGGGGGGGGTAGGGTGTGGTCCAGTAGGGCCTTAAGGCCGTGTTACGTCTGCAAAAGCGAATGGCGTGGTAGGCTGCTGGAGGTATTAAGAGCACGCTAAGCTGCTGCAGGCGCTAACAACAGGTGTGGGTATTTGAAGCCGTACCTGCCTTTCTCCTAATTTCGTACCGCCCGCCACTCCCCATCCCTCACGCCCCCTTTTCCTCCTCCGCTTCACCCCCCTTCCCCTCTCCTCCCCGCCGCCCTCCTCCCTCCCCTTTCCCCCGCCCATTCCTGCTGTCTTCCTTCCTCCTTCCTACCCCAGACTGGTGTATTACTGCTGCCGGCTGTGCCAGATGCAGGCCTGGCGGAAGCATCGGCACGTGTGTGGCGCCGCGGCGGCGGCAGCGGCGCGCATCCAGCGCACGCGCGCGCTGCTCACCCCCTCGCAGTGGCGCGCGCTGGGCGAATTCGGGGACGCCGTGCGCGCACTCATCCCCGCACACCTGCTCGTCCCCACGCAACCGGACCTCGTCGCGAGCGCGCTGCTCAAAATCGCCGCGTACGTGCGCCAACGCCCGCACCTGGTGCAACAACCCATGGCGGACGCGGTGTGGGCAGCGGCGCTGAGCATGCGCGGGGAGGGCGCAAGCCCGCGCCTGTACATGGCGTGGGCGTGGGGGTTCTTGGAAGCCGCGGTTGAGTCCGGTTCCGTGGACGCGTTTCTGGCGGCGCTGCGGATTGACCCGGCGGTCGGGGGCGCGGCGGACCTTCCGCGCGTGAACCGGTGGATGAAGCGCGGGCTGTGCCAGGCGCTGCTGATGCTGAACAAGCGGCAGGAGGTGGGCGCGTTCTTCCGCCACGCGCCCCGCCAACAGCTGCTCTACTTCTAAACGCGATGAAACGGGGTGGAAGGAGTGGGGAGGGGTTGGGTGTGTTGGAAGAGGGTGCAAGAAGAGGAGAGACGGGAGCGTTCTTTCGCCACGCGCCCCGCCAGCAGCTCCTCTACTTCTAAACTAGATGAACGGGGAAGTGGGGGGAGGGGGGACGTGTGGGGGGACGTGGGGGAGGGTTGTAGAGGAGACAGCGGGGGTTGGTTAAGGAGAGAGACAACAACTCCTTTGCTTCTAGACACAATGAGAAGAATGGTGGAGGGGAGTGGCATGCATCAATGGCATCTGCTTTCCTTCCGCCAATGTGCAGGCAATATCTGCTAACCTTTTAAAAGGACAGGAGAGGGGAGGGGTGACAGCAGCTGATTCATTTGTAGAAACAAACGAGGGTTTGAGGGGGGGGGGGGAAGGGAAGAGGGGGCAGCAGCTGCTCTAATTGCTATAAAACGGGGGCAGGAGGGAGAGAGCAGCTGCATCGATTGTAAAAAAAAGGGAGGAGGGATGGATTGACGGCAGGTGTTGCAGCAGGTGCTCTTGCAGGTATTGCAAAGCAATGCGTCTAACGCGGTATCATGACCAGGATGGATGGCAATGGCTTGGACCAGCTCAATTGCTCTAGTGGCGCTGGAGAGAGATGGGAGCTGCAGCACAGCGCATCACATCACGTCGCAGTTGGGAGGGAAAGAGACAAGAGACACACGGCCCCGTTGCTTGTTCAACCCCCCTCTTCATTCCGACAGCAGCTGCTGCTGCTCTGTGTCTTATTGGGGGTTGCGCGGGCGGGTGGCATGTGCGTGATTGCAATTTTCAAGAGATGGATGAATGACTCTTGGGTTTTGTCTGAAATTGGCCGCTCCACTAACGTGGATCCCTTCTCTTCATACCTGAGTTTTTTTCCCCTCAGACAGCAGCTGCTTTAGTGCTAATGTGAAAGCCAGTGGCTGCCTTATTTGTTTTGTTTGAAGAAACTTTCCTGGTACATGGGTTTGTTTGTTGTGAGGAGATGGATCATTGACAGCTTTTGAGGCGCCTCAAAAGTGTTGGAAACAATCGGTCCTAAGCGCCTCTGTCGTGTCGAAACACTAAGACACAAAAGAAACGAAGTATAAAGAATCACCGGCGAGTCAACCCTCGGAGGTTGAAAGTAACTGTTGGAGGTTACGCGAAAGTCAAAGGTCAGCGACCTTTGACCTGACAAAGTACAGCGCGACAGCAAGGACAAACAACTGACTCGGTATTGAGCAGTTGCCCGAGTCGTCACTGTATCGAACCGCAACAGCAATAGTAAAACGGTTATTAACTGTATCTCTTCGTATTCCTTGTACTCTTATAAAAGCTTGTATCTCTTTGTTTTAATCAACTTACTTTGCCCTCACATACTAGCGCAAGGTGGTTCACAACTCTTTAATTAACGCTTCCGCTACTACATCAACTCTACCCAGAGTTCACCCCTGCAAAGATCCTAAGGGTTTTTCAGCCCAACATGGTATGAGAGCTATCAGGGGCAATTCAACTTCTATACCGACAACATCAACAAGCATGGCTACACAAAAGGAAAGGAGCAACTCCAACGGCTCCCAGGGCACTACTCCTACTCCACCTCCTGCCTCTGGCCTACAGACAGAGGAGGGCACAGCAACAAGACCCAGAGCAACATCTACCGAGACTCCCGCGAATCAACCTGCAGACTTCGACCAGAGCATGATGGAGAAGTTTTTCTCCTTCATGTCCTTCTACGAGCAACACCAGCAATCGGCACCTGCGCAGTCACACAACAGCAACAACAACGGAGCAACACCCATGAGTCTCGACGGCTCATCATATGCACGAGGAAATCAACAACAGCAGCCTACCTTTGCTCCGTACGAGCGCGGGTCCATCAGCTTTATGCCACACCCACAGCCTTCACCTGGACAAGAAAAATCACTGGACGCATTACAAGTTCAGTCGCAGTTCGCACACGTTCTGAAGATGCAGACGTCAAGACCTTTCGATGGAAAGGACTTCTTCACCTGGTCGTTCGAGTTCGAGCTGATGATGGAAGGCGCGCAGATACTCGGGTTCTTCGACGGGTCTCTGCCATACCCAACAAACGGCACACAGTACGAGAAGCAGCAGTACACCTATCAGTCAATGATGGCGTACACGATCCTACTGAGGAATATCACCCCGACTCAACAGCAGAACATAAGGTCTTACCGAGGTTACGGCAACTCCGCGGAGCTCGCGTACAACCACCTGAAGAGCCTGTATCAAGCAACAGACAGCGTAAGCCAAAGTCGGTTAATGGCGCAACTGACAACGGTTGAAATGAAACCAGGGGAGAAAGGAATGGCGTATATCAGTCGATGTCGCGAGTTGCGCGACAAGCTTCTTCGATGCGGAGGGTCGATCTCTGAAGACGCCTTCGTGACAGTCATCATCGGCGGCCTCGGTCCTCAATGGCGCGCCACAAAGGCCATTCTCCGAGCTCACGGAAGAATCTCCGAAGCAGCGCTCTGCGCCGAAATCCACGCCGAGCAGCAAGACATGGACCTGCAAGAAGAACGACACAAAAAGAAGACATCAGCACCGGAATTCGCGTTCCACACTCAGCGACGCTACAACAACAACAACAACCGGCAGCAACAACCGAAGCCAGTACCTCCGTTCTGCCACATCTGCAAAACTTCAGGACACCTGCGTACACACTGCCCAAATCGTCAACAGTCAACAACTCCACAGCGGCAACTTCGACCTTCAAGCAGCCAAATCGCCTCAACGCAAGCAAATCCCACGACCCAGATTCAAGCCTCAACGACTTCAACGGGACAACCTGCACAAGGAGCAAGAAACATCGTCAGTTGCATGGCAAAGCTGAGTGACTCCTGCATCACCGAGTCACCACCACACTACTCACCGGAAGAACAACTCGACGAAACCACACCCCGCCGCGAGTCACTTCAGCCGAACCCGACATACGCCGCCATCGCCCAAAGCGAACCATCCGGAAAAGACACATGGTTCTTGGACAGTTGCTGCGGACAGCACATGTGCTCCTCAGGACGCTTCGTTCAACGAGAACACCAACTTCAACGCGAAGTTGTCATTACAGTCGCCAACAATCAGAACCTGCGAACACGACGACAAGGCGTAGTTCAACTTCAGTCAAGGGAAACAAACGTTATACTGCAGATGTCAAAAGTACTAATCGCGGAGGGACTCGGCTACAACTTACTGAGCGTCAGTCAGCTAATGGCGAAAGGTATTCACCTCGAAGCAGACAGCACCACCCAAGAATTCAAGCTGTATCATGGGAGAGGAGGACTTTATATCGGCTTTCGTTCTTGATTTCGTTCCCGATCTTGGCACCGCCGACAGCGACGCCATCGTTAACTTCACCAACTGGACACACCCTCCAGACCTTGATCCAGACTTCAGTCCAGAAGGCTTCTGGTACTCACACACCATCCCTGAAGCAGAAAGAACAAGGGCGTTAGCAACAATTCAGACAACATCAGCAGCAGCAGAGACAACATCGGCAGCAGCAGAGACAACATCGACAGCAGCAGAGGCAACATCGGCAGCAGCAGAGACAACATCGGCAGTAGCAGAACCATCAACGGCAGCAGCAGGAACGTCAACATCAATTGCTGGTCCTTCAACGACACCGCTCCTCATCGACGACACACCACCGACACCCGCGCAACAACTACACCCAGCACCACAAGAAGTTCATCGTAGCGCCAACTTCACCGCAAACTTCTACTCCAACTCCGATATGTACCGACGATCACCCGGACATCGCGCTGACGAAAGCACCTGGCACGCAAGGATGGGACACCCAAGCAACACAGTATTAAACAATACGATAAGAGCAGGAGTACTCGACAAGGACTCACTCCTACTGACCGACGGACGAGAACTTCAACGAGTACGCGGAACGTGCTTCACCTGCCCTGAAGGTGACTTACCACATCGACCGTTTGCGTCTCATCACAACCCGAGCGCACCCGCGTACGCACCACTCGAGAAGGTGTATAGCGACATCCTGTACAATCGGGAACCAGGACAAGTAATATACAACTATACAATCACCTTCATCGACGCCGCCACCCGTTACGTCTGGCACCTAAACCTCCCTAGCCGCGACATGGCATTCGCAGCCTTCGTTGCCTGGCTACCAGTAGCAGAGAGAGAATCGGGCGTGAAACTGAAAAGCTTCCAGTCAGACGGAGGAGGAGAATACACCTCTCAGCGATTCAAGCAGTACCTGGCGGAAAGGGGAATCAAGCGGCTCATCTCCCTTCCCTACGCCCATCAGCAGCAAGGTATAGCAGAAAGAATGAACAGGACCTTGCAGAACAGCATGCGCAAACTGTTACGTGGCATGCGGCTACCCAACCACCAATGGCTTGCGGCAATGGACCACGCCGTCATGCTGCACAACTTGCTCTTGTCATCATCGCTTCCAAACAACGCATCACCGCATCTGCTATGGACAGGGAAACAAGGCAGCACAAAAATGTTACGAGTATTCGGATGCATGGTACAGTACCGACCCCCAGCAGCACGAGCGGGCCGATTTTCTCAACGAGCACAGTGGGGACTACACCTGGGAATCGAAAAGAACTACAATGCGTGGAAAATCTTCGACGTCCATTCCAAGGAAACAGTAGCAGCACGTGATGTAATTTTCTACGAACGACTCACGCTCCAGACATACCTTGCCAAACTGCAAGAAGACCAGGATCCCACAGGTGGTTTTCGCGGTGACCGAGCCTTCGCCTCAGCAACGGACGAAGCTGACTGGGACGAGCAAAATGTGGACAACGCATCAGAAGAAGCCGGACCTCTTCCGTTCTGCTCCGTGGACGTTCCCATGGACGAAGATAACCCTCGCGAAAGTGTCAACGCCGAAACCTTCTACTATTTCGCCGACAACGGTTACGTAACACCTGCGACAGTCAACACCAACGAAGCAGAACGAGTAGGACCCAACTTCATACCTGATCCAGAAGCGGGAGATGAAGCAGCTTATCCCGAGGACGCAAATCTTCCCCGCTACTCACAGAGTGGACTGCAAATTCTCGGACTCGTCACCGCAGTCCACGGCACCGCCATTCCTAAAGAGCCTGCGACGGTTCAACAGGCTCTGGGGGGGGAGCATAAGGAAAAATGGCGCGAAGCCATGGACAAGGAGCTGAAGGCACTGGAGGAACGCAACACGTGGAAAGTGGTTCCTATCGGCGTGGCACGGAACAAGACAGTGCTCACCGGGAAGTGGGTCTTCCGTTTGAAGACAAAGGCTGACGGCACCATTGACAAATTTAAAGCTCGCTGGGTTGTACGCGGCTTCGACCAAGAACACGGACGCGACTTCACCGAAACTTTCGCTCCGGTTAGCCGCCACACCTCACTACGCATTCTCCTCGTAATCGCCGCCATGAAGAAGAAGAAGCTGCGACAAATTGACGTCGCGAACGCGTTTCTCTACGCACCTGTTGATGCAGAAATTTTTGTCGAGCTACCGCACGGCTCCCACAGAGAACCCAACCAAGTCTGCCAGCTACTCAAGTCACTCTACGGCATCAAGCAGGCTCCGCGACTGTGGCAACAGTACCTGCATGCTCGCCTCATCCGCATCGGCTTCAAGCAACTACCGCACGATCAAGGCATGTACCGGCTCACAAAAAACGATGACTACATCCTACTAATCGTCTACGTGGACGATCTCCTTTACATCGGCTCGAATGACGGCATCACTACCTGGTTCGAAGGGGAGCTGCAGCGAGATCTCACGCTCACAGTTTCATCTACCGTCACTCAGTACCTCGGCCTCAACATCCGGGAAGAGGAGGACGCGATCTACCTCAGCGCCGAGAAATATGCCGACACCATCGCCAAACGCTTTACGCTCACACCGACAGCCATCTCCACGCCATACCGCTACACGGCAGGGAACGACAAAGGAAGCTCCGCTCTACTCAAGCCCGCCGGCATACGAGACTACCAGAAGAAGCTGGGATGTCTTCTCTTCGCAGCCGTCACCTGTCGCCCCGACCTCTCATACTCCGCAAGCCAGCTCGCCACCTACCTCAAGAAGCCTGAAGCAGAACATCTGGCGGAGCTCGACCGCGCTCTTCACTACTTCGTCAGCACCCCAACGATCGGCCTAACTTACTACAAGAACGCAACCACACCGACTAAGTTAATCGGCTACGTCGACGCTGATCACGCTGGCGACTCCGACAATAGGCGCTCCCGCACCGGCTACATCTACCGCCTCGAACCTATCGGACCTATCTCTTGGCAGTCGAGCAAGCAGGAATTAATTGCTCTCTCGTCAGCTGAAGCAGAATATATTGCACTCTGCTCAGCCACCAAGGAAGGACTCTATCTTCGCGAGCTGCTGGAAGAAGCGAAGTTAGCCGAGTTACCCAACTTTACCCTGTTCTGCGACAACCAGTCAGCAATTCGCATCGCCAACAAGAACGGCTTCGCGAACAGGACGAAACACATCGCCCTGCGATATTTCTTCGTGAAGGACGAGATCGAGAAGGGAAGGCTCGAGCTGTCATACTGTCCCACGTCTGAGATGGCAGCTGACTACCTGACCAAGAAGCTCGGAAAGCAGAAGTTCGAATACTGCATGTTGCTGACTGGACAGAGCCACGTCAGCGACACTCCAGAAGCGAAGGGGAGTGTTGGAAACAATCGGTCCTAAGCGCCTCTGTCGTGTCGAAACACTAAGACACAAAAGAAACGAAGTATAACGAATCACCGGCGAGTCAACCCTCGGAGGTTGAAAGTAACTGTTGGAGGTTACGCGAAAGTCAAAGGTCAGCGACCTTTGACCTGACAAAGTACAGCGCGACAGCAAGGACAAACAACTGACTCGGTATTGAGCAGTTGCCCGAGTCGTCACTGTATCGAACCGCAACAGCAATAGTAAAACGGTTATTAACTGTATCTCTTCGTATTCCTTGTACTCTTATAAAAGCTTGTATCTCTTTGTTTTAATCAACTTACTTTGCCCTCACATACTAGCGCAAGGTGGTTCACAACTCTTTAATTAACGCTTCCGCTACTACATCAACTCTACCCAGAGTTCACCCCTGCAAAGATCCTAAGGGTTTTTCAGCCCAACAAAAAGATCACACAACTGATCATTCAAGGCAGGAGATGCAGGAGATAAGACAACTCTGTTCTGTTGCCACAAGAAACAGTTCTTGACAGATCACCTGCCCACTGATACGGTAGTGGGGGGGACGCCGTGTTAGGAAAGGGGAGGGGACCCAGGGAGCCTCCTGATCATACCATACTTTTTTTTTACTCCACGGCATTGTTATGTTCATGTGCACTACACTATCAACACGTCTATCGGGTTGGGTGTGCTTGCTGTGCTTGCACACAGATGGCCATACACATCCTTTTAGTGGTTGGGGTCCAAGGGGGAGAATCCCCTTGACAGACGTGGGAGCAAAGCAGCCCTGGACAACTTAAAACACTGTGTTGTGAGCAAATACTGTTTCCAAAAGAGCTAGAGGCTCTTCGTGGAGTGCTGGAGCTATGGTTAGACTGGTGGTGGCCACTTAATTGCGCCCCACTATAACCTCCATGCCACGTACCGTACGTATTTGTGAACTCAGGTTCTGTGTTCCAGAATGGTTGGTGCGCTGGGTCGTGTAGAGGATGCAGCATGTCAAGGCGGTTTGGTCGAGTCAACAGCGGGAGGTGCAGGTGCAGCAGCAGCAGCTGCTGGGGCTGCTGCTGCTGCTGGCGCTGCTGCTGGCGCTGCTGAAACAGGTGGTGTTGCTGCTGGCACACGTGCTGGCACTGCTGGTGGTGCTGGCGGTGTTGCCGCAGGCGCAGAGGAGGAGGAGGCTGGAGCAGGTGTGGCAGCAGCGGTGGTAGCAAGAGAGGCAGTAGCAGTTGCAGCAGGCGCGTGCGACTTAGCTGGCGCCACAGGCAGTGGTGATACCGAACTGGCCGGCGTACCTTGTCTCACACCGGGAGCTGGTGCATTGGTTGCAGCAGCAGAAGCAACACCACCAGTACCATCAGCAGCAGCGGCACCGGCAGTACCAGCAGCAGCAGCAGTTGCCACTGCATCGACTGAGCTTGGCACCACTCCTGCATCTGGCACCTTTGAATGCGTCAACACTTCTGAGTTGGGTGGTGGTGCTGCTGCTGCTGGGGCTGCACAGCCTTGGGACGCACCTTGCATGGTGCTGCTCTGTGCGCCCACCTGTGCGCCTGCACCTCCCCCTGCGCTCCCCTGTGCGCCTGCTGGGGGCATTCCCGAAGAGGCACTTTGCCCCACTGGTTTACTCCCAGCCAATGGGGTTTGGCCACCTGGCACAGATGCACCTGCCCCTCTCCCCACTCCCCCTACCCCTCCCCTCCCTCCCCCTGAACCAGCTACAGCAGCACCGGCTGTAGCAGCAGAAGACACGGCAACCCCTCTCCCTCTCCCACTCTGCCCTCCCCCACCCCGACCTGCCCCTCCCACCGCTCCCACTCCAGGCCTTCCCGAACCTCCACCGCCAGGCACAAACCCTGCTGCCGAGCCTGAGCTGTAGGTATGGGGCGAGCGGGTGATGTGGTGCACCACCACAGGCGCACCTGCCTTCCCCGCAGCGGCCTGCATGAGGGAGGCTGCAGCTGAGGGAGGTGCTATCCGCGCCCCTGCTGCCACTGCTGCCGCCTGCACCAGAGGGTCCGGGGCGAGAGGTGTGTGCGAGTGAGAGAGTGAGGTGTGAGGGGAGTGGGAGGAGGAGAGGGAGGCGTGGGAGGGGTGGGAGGAGTGCGGGTGCATGGATGCACGCCCTACTGTGCCAATGCCTGGCCGAGGACCCCCTCCTATCCCTCCTCCCACTCCTCCCATACCTCCTGCTGCTGCTCCTGCTCCTGCTCCTGCTGCTGAGCCTGATGGCAATCCCCTCCCTGCTGCTGCTGCTGCTGCTGCAGCACCGACATTACCCACCCCTCTTCCTCTCCCCACACCCATCCTGCCCATCATGCCGCCGCCCGCTCCCGCCCGCCCGCCCGCCCCTGCTACAGTACCTCTGCCGCCCGGCAGCCCACCGGGTGAATAACCGCCAGCTGTTGCCGATTTGGCAGCATTAGCAGCGGCGGCGGCGGCAGCTGACGCGGCAGCTGCGGAAGCATATGGGGAGTTTCCTGGAAAGCCCCTGCCTCGGCCCATAGCAGTTGCCATGCGCCTCTGCTGCTGCTGTTGCTGCTGCAGCAACTGTTGCTGCTGCTGCAGGTGCTGTTGGTGCTGCTGCTGCTGATGCTGCGCCCATGCCTGTGCTGACGTCAGCCTGCCAGTTGTCCCCCTCCCACTCGCACCCCTGCCTGCCGCCCCACTAGCCACCCCACGGGCCAATCCCGAACTGCCACCTGCAGATCCGGTTCTGTGAGCCCACTGGTTGGATGCTGACGTGGAAGGGGGGTACTTGGGGGGGATGGAGGAGGGGTGCATGGTGTGGGTGTGGGGTGTGAGGGAGTGAGCGTGAGTGTGAGTGTGCGGGGAAGGGTGAGAGAGTGAGGACTGAGGGTACCCACCAGAGTACGCAGGTGTGTGCCTGATGGGAGTGGAATAAACGTCTATTTGACCTTGCCCCTGCCCCTGTCCCAGCCCCTGCCCCTGCCCCTGCCCCTGCCCCTGCTTCTGTCCCAGTCCCTGCCCCTGCCCTTGCCCCTGGCCCTGCATGTGCAGTGATCCCATCTCATGCTCCTTCCTCTCCCCCACACCCCCACCTTCCCCCAAACCACCACTGCTACTCGCTGCTCCTCTCTGCTGCGCTGGCTGCTGTTGCTGCTGCTGCTGCTGCTGCATCCCGGCCCCACTCCCATCCCCAGTCTCCCCTCCCACACCACCCTCTCCTGCCTTACCAGCACCCTCAGCCTCCGCTCTAGCTGCTGCTTCTCGTGCTGCTTCCCTAGCGGCTGCCTCCCTAGCTGCCTCCCTTGCCGCTTCTCTCGCTGCCTCCCTTGCTGCTGCTTCCCTCGCAGCAGCTTCAGCCTTCACCGCTGCTTCTTTTGCAGCGGCCTCTCTAGCAGCAGCCTTCTTAGCAGCCGCCTCTTTAGCCGCAGCCTCCTTTGCAGCGGCTTCTTTTGCTGCTGCCTCTCTTGCTGCTGCTTCCCGGGCCTCCCTTGCCTTGCGGCCTGGGATGGGCACTCCCTCCTTCTCAAACTTCTTGCGCAGAATGTACCAGCGCTGGTGTGAGGGTAGGGAGCGGGGGAGAGCAGAGAGAGGGAGGTATGAGGGAAACAGTAAGTAATGGGCGTGGGATGGGCACTCCTTCCTTCTCAAACTTGTTTCGTAGAATGTACCACCGCTGGCATGACGGTGGGGAGAAGTGGGAAAGAGAGAGCAGAGAAATGGGGGTGTGAAGGAGAGCGTGAGCAATGGAATTGGGATCGGAACCCTCTCTTTCTCAGAAATTTTGCATAGAATGGACCAGCGCTGGCATTCGGGTGGAAAGGAGGGGGACGCGCAGAGAGAGGGAGTTGGGTTGGGAGGGAAGGGGACAGTGAGGAGCAGGCAATTGTAGAAAGTACTGACCTGGTATCAGCACCCCTCCTTCTCAAAGGTTCTTTTCACACGATGCACCCACCCACCCACCTGCCCGCCCACACCCACCCACACACCCACCCACCCACATGCCCACCCACACACCCACCCACACACCCACCCACACACCCACCCACACACCCACCCACATACCTACCCACCCACCCACCCACACACCCACCCACACGCCTACCCACACACCCACCCACACACCCACCCACACACCCACCCACACACCCACCCACACACCCACCCACACACCCACCCACACACCTACCCACACACCTACCCACCTACCCACCCACCCACCCACCCACCCACCCACCCACACACCCACCCACCCACCCACACACCCACCCACCCACCCACCCACCCACCCACCCACCCACCCACCCACCCACCCACCCACCCACCCACCCACCCACCCACCCACCCACCCACCCACCCACCCACACCTACCCACCTACCCACCCACCCACCCACCCACCCACCCACACACCCACCCACCCACCCACACACCCACCCACCCACCCACCCACCCACCCACCTGCCCACCTGGGACAGCTGGGGGCGTTCCTCTTGAGCACGCGCCCTCTCTGCCCCTCCCCATACACCTCTATCACCTTCAGCAGCAGCAGCAGCAGCAGCAGCAGCAGCAGCAGCAGCAGCAGCAGCAACTGAGGCAAACACAGACCCACAAACTCCATACATCCCACACACTCACCTGGGATAGCTGGGCGGCGTTCCTCTCAATCCCCAAGTCGCTCTTGAGCACACGCCCCCACTGCCCCTCGCCGTACACCTCCACCGCCTTCAGCAGCAGCTTGTCCTCATCCGGCGTCCATGCCTTGCGCTTCTTCTTCGCCTCTCCATCCGCTGCTCCTGCTCCCCCTCCCGCTCCCCCCGCTGTGCCCCCTGCTCCCCCTGCTGCCCCTCCCCCTCCCCCTGCAGCCCCCTTTCCCTCTGTGCCGCCACTGCCACCACCTGCACTGCCTGCAGCAGCAGCGGCAGCGGCAGAAGCAGAGGCAGAGGCAGCAGCAGATGCAGAAGCGGCAGCGGCGCCTGCCTTGCTGGGTTTGGCCGGCTGGGCGTTGCTGCTGCTGGTCTTCTTCTCGCCTGCCCCACCCTCCCCCCCACCGCCTGTCGATGCCTTTGCTGCTGCTGGCTTTCCGGCAGCGGCTTTCGCTCCGTCCTTCTTCGCTCCCCCCTCCCCTCCTCCCCCTCCTGCCCCTGCAGCCAAGGCTGATTCTTCAAAACCCTTCCCCAATGCCTTCCGACTCACTCCTCCTCCGGCTCCTGCTACTCCTCCTCCGGCTCCATCCCCTGTCTTGCCCTGCTCCTTCCCTGTCCCACCCTCCCCCTTTGAGCCCTCTGCACCCTTGGGCACTGGCGCGTGTTGACTCACCAGCCGTGCCACTGGCTTGTTCTCCTCCTCGTCCTCATCCTCCTCCCCCTCCTTACCCTCCCCAACTCCATCCCCCCCATCCCCTCCATCCTCCCCATCTTCCCTACCGCTCACCTTCCCTGACACTCCATTCTTTCTCTGCTGCTCCCCATCCCTCCTCCCGTCTCTTGTACCCTCCCATTTCCGCTTCGTCCCCCCCTCCCCTCCCCTCTCCACGTCCCCTCTTCCCCCTCTTCCCTCCTCTATCCCCATCTCCCCCACCCCAATCTCAGCAGCAGCAGGGTCGACAGGGGGCAGAGGGGCGTGAGTCTGGGCAGTCGAAAGGGCATGGGAGGCAGAATCAGGGATGCCTAAGTCCCAAGGGTCATGGAAATTCTCTCCTTGTGTGTGCTGCTGCCGCTGCTGCTGCCGCTGCTGCTCCTCCCGCTCTCCCTGCTGGCGATCCTTGGCCTGTGCCGTGCCTTGCTCCGTGTGCGTCTGCCCTCCTCCATCCGCCTGCTGCTGCTGCTGCTGCTGCTGCTGCTGCTGTGCGTCGTGCTTTTGCGGCGCCTCAGAGGTGCCGTGCTTCCCAGGGTGGCACGAGTGGTACCACCCATAGGCAATGTCAGAATCAGCCAAGTCAGCCTGCGATGTACATGATGGGGCATGCAGCAACGCGAGCAGGGATGAGGAAAGACCTGCTTCTGATGAAGGAACTCAAATTGAGCTTAAAGCCCTTTCTGACTGCTTTCAAAGAGACAAGTTTAGAGACTGTTTCAGGAGATTTCTAATCGCACTCTAATTCCTCAAGAGAGTGCATTCTCCTTTCTTCTCTAGCTTCTCAGCAAGCCGCATAGGTTGACAGCTCCGAATCTCATCGGCCCAACAGTCAACACTTGTACCAGAGACTTTACTCACAGCGATTCCGAACAAGCTTTGGTTGGTTCCGTAAGAGCCCCAACCACTCAGCAGCCAGAGACACTTGAGCAAAGTGCACCTCGATGCACGCACACTTGACACACCTTGACTTGACAAGTTTAGAGTTGGCTCAAAACTCGTATACACACCTTGACAAACGATGCAGCAGCGGAAATGAGGTGAGGAGACGTGTCCAGCGGGTATTCGAGCTCGTCCTCCAAATCGCTCTCCTCCTCCTCCTGCCACACACACTCACATACACACACAAAGTAATTGTTATACCATGTGTTGTGTTGCACTAGTGCACATGACGCGAACTATTCAGGTGTTTCAGAGGCGATGTGTCCAGAGGACACTCCAGCTCATCCTCTAGGCCGCTCTCCTCCTCCTCCTGCCACACCCATACACACACACGCACACAGAGTGAGTGCCATGCCATGTGTTGTGACGCATGAGTGCAGAAGACATAAGGGGTATTCAGGTGTCTCAGAGACCGATGTGTGACGTGTCCACAGGGCACTCCAGCTCATCCTCTAGGCCACTCTCCTCCTCCTCCTGCGACAAACATACACACAGAGTGAGTGCCATGCGCATGTATTGTTTTACATCAGCGCTTGACATGGGTTAATCAATCGCCTCAAAGGCGATGTATCTAAAGATCACTCAAGCTCTTCCTCCTCCTGCGACAAACATACACACAGAGTGAGTGCCATGCGCACATGACATGAGCTAAACAGGTATCCTAAATAACGATGGTTTAAGAGGGTATTCCGGCTCGTCCTCTAAATCGCCTCTCCTCCTCCTCCTGCCACTCCCATAAACACATGTTTTGAGGCACCTAAAAAATCACCAGCAGCGGCACGGAGAGCAGCGTGCGGAGGTGCGAGAAGGGGTGGGCAGGGGTGGGTGGGTGGTTGTAGGCGAGGCAGCGCAACGACCACGCAAGTGCAGAGGAGGAAACTCACCAACAGGGGTGCGGAGGGGAGGGTGCCAAGGTGCGAGAAGGGGAGCCGTAGGCAAGCCAGCGCCAGAGCAGCTGGCAGGGGCGAAAACACCTGAGGGGAGCAGCATCTTACCAGCAGGGGCGAAAACACCTGAGGGGAGCAGCATCTTACCAGCAGGGGCGAAGCGAAAACACCTGAGGGGAGCAGCATCTTACCAGCAGGGGCGCGGAGGGTAGCGTGTCCAGGTGCGAGAAGGGGCGGGCGTAGGCCAGCCAGCACACAAATCACAAGACAGGAAACGACGTTGTTTCAAGGTGCCTCAACACTCACCAGGAGCGGTGCAGAGGGCAGCGTGTCCAGGTGCGAGAAGGGGCGGCCGTAGGCCAGCCAGCGCCACAGCAGCTGGCAGAGCGCCAGGCTGGCGACGGGGAAGCTGTGATTGGCCGAGAGGCGGGCGGCTATGGACGGCCAGTGGAGGTGGCGGCGGTACGATGCCTCCCGTGCCACCTCGTGGAGCAGAGCCATTATGAAGGCCGCCCCGTACCTGAAGGGGGTTGTGTGGGTGTTGAGGGGGGAATGTGTCATGAAAGCATTGTGAGGGTGGGTGGGTGTATGGCTCGTTGTAGGATGCCTCCCGTGCCACCTCGTGCAGGAGAGCCATTATGAAGGCTGCTCCGTACCTGACGTGGGTTGTGAGGGACGGGACGGGAGGGGGGTTGGGGAGGTATAGGCATCATTCAAGGGTGCATCCTGAGCCACCTCGTGCAGGAGAGCCGTTATGAAGGCCGCTCCGTACCTGATGTAACCAGAGGGATGGGGGAGGAGAGTGAGAGGATGAGGCAGTACCAGCAGCAGCATGGTGGCAGTGCCAGGTGGCGGCGGTGGGATGCATGCACGCATGCAGTGACACACACTAGCACTCACTGGTGGCAAGCAGCTGCCACGTCAGCCTCTGAGAGGCTCCGCGTGCCATGCATGCTGATGTCTATCCCCGCCGCTGCCAGCGCTGCCACCGCCCCCCCATCCATGTCAAACCCCCCCTCATCATCATCCTCCTCATCCTCCTCTTCATCTTCCTCATCCTCCCCCTCCCCCTCCTCATCAGTATCATCATCAGCTTCCTCCACATCCACACTCTCCTCCTCTCCCTCTTCTTCCAATGCTATCCCCCCCTGCTCCGCCCTCTCACTCCCTCCTCCCTTCCCTCTTTCCTCCCCCTCCCCCTCCTCCTCTTGCTCCAACATAATCCAGTCATCTTCCTTCCCACCATCACCACTTACCTCCCCCATCCCACCACCCCTCGCCTCAGCCGCTAATACAATCTTCACCACTGCTCCCACACCTGCCGCCCCTGCCGCCCCTGCCACCCTTCCCCCTCTCCCCCTCACTTCCTCCCCCCCTCTCCTCCCCCCTTCACTCCCCCTCCCCGCACCACCCTTCTCACCCTCCGCCACCACACCCACCTTGCCCCCACCCCTCCCCCTCGCCTCTGCTTCAGACTTCACCACCACCACCTCTGCTGCCTTTACAGCCTTCCCACCCATCTGAAGAGCCTCAAAACTCTCTGAATCCTCGGGATTTTCGGAAATTTCAAGGCTCCCTGGAGTGGCGTGGGCGTCAGCGCAAGCCTCTGCCTCGGGAGTGTCAACAGGAGGCCAGTCCAGCCCCCCTCCCAAGCCCCCCAGGCTCCTGGCAGCAGCCATGGCTGCTGCTGCGCGGTCCGCTGCTGCAGACGGGGCAGCCGGGCGCGGGGGAGCAGGGGGGGGCGCACGAGGGGAGGCACGAGGGGGAGGGCGCAGAGGAGCGCGAGGGGAGGGGCGAGGGGGAGAAAGGACGGTAGCGGAGCGAGTGGATGGGGGAGCCATGGGCCGAGCAGCAGCAGCAGCAGCGGCGGCAGCACTAGGTGTAGCCTTGGCTTTGGCTTTGGTGGGGGTTGTTGCACCAACTCTCTGCCCGTCCCTCTGTTCTGCGCCCCTCCCCTCAACCACGGGACGCTTGCTCCGCTGCTGCTCTGCCTCCTCCTCTGCACCGTCTGCTCTTTCTCTCCCCTCTCTCCCTTCTCTCCCCTCCCTCCCCTCTTGCCTACCCCGTTCGCTCAACCCTGTCCCTGCAATAGCAGCACCAGCATCATCGGCAGCAGCACCACTCTCAGCACTGGCAGCACCCGCATCACCACCACCCCCAGCAGCAGCAGCAGCAGCACCGGCACTGTCATCCGCCTCTCCCCGCCTCCTCTTCCTTGAGAACCGCCCTCCACCCTCCCCTCCTACACCCCCCACTTCCCTTCGCGCCCCTCCTCCCTTCTCCCCCTTCCTCTCCCCCTGCCTCTCCCCTCCACTCTCCTCTACCCCCTCCCTACCACCCTGACCTCCTCTCTCCCGCAACCCCTTCCCCCCCCACCTCTCCTTCTCTCCCTTCCCTCCACCTCTGCTGCTCGTTTCCTCTCTCACTCCCTTGCTGCCTCCTCTTTCTGTGCGACCCATCGCTTTACCATCTGCACCACTCTCCACTCTCCCTTTCCACACGCCTTTCCCCTTCCGCCCATCGTCCCCCTTCCCTTCCCCATCCCTCTCCCCATCCGCCCCCCTTCTTCCACCTTCCTCCTCCTTCCCTGCCCCTTTCTTGCTCCCCTCCTTCCTCCCCCCATCTCCCTCCTCCCCTTCATCCGCATCACCGCCCTCCCACTCCTCCCCACCCCACCGCCCTTTCTTCCGGGCGGGGGAGATCAGCGCCAGCCTGGCAGAATGCCTAGTGGGGCTCAGCGGCTGCTTCCCCCCCGCCGCCCGCTTCTGGGCGGCAGACTGCTTGGACTGGGCGGCATGTTTGGCAGGGGCGGCGTGTTTGGGCGGCAGCGGGGCGTGCTTAGACTTGGAGGAAAACGGCTTCTTGAGGGAAGATGACTTTTGGGATGAGTCAAAGGTCACTTTGAGAGTCGGCTTTTTCGAAGAAGACGAGAGTTTGAACGACTTGGAGTGCTTTGCGGGCGGCAGCTTACAAGTGCCATGTTTCCCACTTCCTTTCCCACTCCCTCCTCCTCTCCCTCCTCCTCCACTCTCCCCATCACCCTCTCTTCTGTCGATTCCTCCTGCCATGGCTACCGCACCTGCATGCTTCCCCCTGCGCCCACCTGCCTCTGCGCCTCCCGCCTCTCCCTCTCCTCCCTCTCCCTTCCCTCGTCCTCCCCTTTCCCCTTCCCCCCCACCTTCTGCTGCCCCGTCACCCACCCGCTCTTCCTCTTTCATCTTCCCTCCTCTCATTGCTGCTTTTGTGGCAGCTGCTGCGGCAGCCGGGGGTTTAGTTTGTGGTTTGAGGGGCAGCGGGCGGGCGGGGGTGGAGGGAGTCGATTCAAAGCGCACAGCGCCAGCAGGCTCCAGGACAACCGTGGCCACCGTGGGGTGCTCCGCGTCTACCGCCACTGTAGCAGTCACTGTAGTCGCTACTGTAGCAGCGACCGTGGCTGTTACTGTAGCTGGCACTGTGGCTGCGCCTGTAGCAGCGGCTGTATCAGCTCCAGCCACCCCCGCAGCATCACTAGCAGCAGCACCAGCAGCACCAGCAGCACCAGCAGCAGCAGTCTTTGCCTCATCACGAACCCCAGAGCCAGCACCACCCACGCCAGCAGCCCCTGCCGCACCAGCCTGTCCCCCTGCACCCTCCGCCCCTTCCGCCTTCCCCCCCTCCTTCCCTTTCCCACCCTCACCCCCCCTCTCCTCCTCTTCCGCCCCCCCAACCTCTCTCGTCGCGCGTGCTGCCACGTTTGAGGGTTCTCCTCCTGCACGCTTTTCAGCCTCCGCCTTCTGTTCACGTACTGCTTCCTCTGCAGCGGAGGAGGCGGAGGGCTTGGCGGCGGCGCCTGCGAGCGGGGCAGCAGCAGCGGGCGGGGGGATAACAGGCGCAGGCGGAGCGGCAGAAGTGGCGGAAGGGGGCCCGCTTTTTCCGGGGGCACCGGCCTGCAGTGGCGCCACTACCTGCCCCGCGCGCCCCGCCACTAGTTGCGCCTGCGCTTGCGCAGGCTGCGGTTGCGCCACCTGCCCTTTCCCGAGCTGCCCTTGCGCCGCGAGCGCCACCACTGGGAGCGGGGCCGCGCCAGTAGTGACAACGCGGAGGATCGGCGCAATGCGCGGGCGATTGGCGCGCTGCACGTGGAGCAGCGCAAGCTGGCCGTCCGTCCGCGCCATTAGCGGAAAGCGAAGGGCGGATTCAGGCTAAAGAGTTAAAGATAGAGGTATGTAAAAGCTCGACAAGGCACTATCGAAGCTGCACCTGCAAATAGCTCCGTTGCGGGTATGCCTCTACGACATAAAGGCGACGCGAAGTGAGCATCGTCGCGGGTGTGGCGGGAACACGCTGCATTAACGATCGTGATAGAAACGAGCGCTGTTCTGCTGAATTGCATTTAGTTATTCTAACTTGGGCTGCACCTGCTGTCTCTGCCTCGCCCTAAGTGGCTTTTTTGGTGACTAAAGCGGGGGTAGATTGCGCTGACATGGAGTTGAAATGGCCAAATTGAAATGTGATAGAACTCGGCTCGGAATGGAGTGTACTGTACAAATAAGTTGCAAATAAGTGGTAACGTGTTGACGATCTTTCGCGATCTCGTCGCAAAGACGAAACCCTCGTCACCATCACGCTCCCGCCAAAAAGCGCGTCAGAAAGATCGCGCGCGCTGCGAGACGCCCAACACCTCGCGCTTCCGCAATTCCGCGCACGACCAGAAACCGCAGGTGCTTGGGGTCGTGCGCGCACAGCACTTTCCCCTTCTGCTCAACCCCGCATTCGCCCCACCAGCTGCCTTTCTTCCCCCCCTTCCCAACTCCCGCCCTCTCCGCCCCATCCTCCCCCCCCCCCCCCACGCACACACACCACACAAAGATTTTCTGTCGAAGTCGTGAGTTATTTCCTCGGCATGCACAGCACAACAAATAAGCAACAGCACAGAACGACGGAGTACGACATAAGCGGCAGATTGAGAGGCTTCAGAGTGACAGCTTGTTCTCGCCTGTCGAATTTAGAGCCACAGCTGATCGGTTTTTTATTTTTTCTTTTAGATTTTATCTCAAAACAGTGAAGTTGGGGTCATGGCCGCCACAGTACCACAGCTGCGAAAAGATCCCGAGGCGCCTCCAATCGCACCGCGGCTAAACGAGCACCAGTTGAACGTCGATGACCCTACCGTCCCATTCCTTTCCCGTGACGACCCCGCTGACGTCATCTTGACCCCGTCCGACGTCGTCTCCTCACCTCCTGACGTCATCCTATCGCTTCCCAACGACGAAGAACCTGTCGCTTTTTCGTCGCAGGCTCCTCCAGGCGACGATCTGCCGTCGCACGAGGAGGCTTCGCAAGGCGACATCGCCGTGTCGCCGAGCGACGATCTCCTGTCGCCCGCGCTGCCATCGTTCCATCCGGAGGCCTTCCCCGCTCTCCTTCCGCATAGCTCTGCGCCCGTATTCCCTCATGTTCCGCCATCCCTCGCTCCACCTTTCTCCCCAGATTCGTCGGGCCCGCAGCACGCGGAGCCCGCCGTTCTTCCGCGGACTCCTCCGCGCGCTGGACCTGCCTCCCCGTCCCCGCAAGTTTCCCCCTCTCCCTACGTTCCGCGCGGCTATCTCCCGCTCTCCCCAAACGTCTCCGTGCCGTACGTACCGGCGTCCCCGGGAGTATCATCAGATAGTTTCGACCAATGGCGGTTCATGGGCAGCCCGGGAAAAACGACAACGGGCAGTCCAGAAAAAGCAGCGACGGGCAGCCCGAAGAAATTACTCACTAGCAACCTACCTGGTCCCGCAACGGGCAGTCCGCAAAGATCTCTTTTTTGCGGCTTCAAGAAACTGCGCGGAAGCAGTCCCACCCGTGCAGCAGGCGATGTGAATGGGGCTAACGGCAAAAGGGGGGGCGTGGAAAGCGGAGGTGGATGTAACGCGAGTGACGAGATTGGGAGTGGGGGAGGAACGAAAGAGGGAAGAGGAAAGAGGAGACGAGGGGGTGTGGCGGAAAGGGGAGGAGAAGGGGCAGATGGCGGAGAGGAGAACGTTGTATTGGGCAAGGGAATAAAAAGAGAACCAAGGAGGGAAATCGGAAGGGAGAAGTGGTTGAGGAGCAAAGGGGAAGGGGGAGAAAATGGGGAAGGAAGACCAAATGGGGAAGGAAGACCAAATGGGGAAGGAAGACCAAATGGGGAAGGAAGACCAAATGGGGAAGGAAGACCAAATGGGGAAGGAAGACCAAATGGGGAAGGAAGACCAAATGGGGAAGGAAGACCAAATGGGGAAGGAAGACCAAATGGGGAAGGAAGACCAAATGGGGAAGGAAGACCAAATGGGGAAGGAAGACCAAATGGGGAAGGAAGACCAAATGGGGAAGGAAGACCAAATGGGGAAGGAAGACCAAATGGGGAAGGAAGACCAAATGGGGAAGGAAGACCAAATGGGGAAGGAAGACCGAAGGGGGAAGGGGCAACGGAGGGGGGAGGGGGAGCGGAGAGGGAAGGGGAATGGGCTGTGGGTTGGAGCAGAGGGAACGAGGGTGCACCTATTGTGCTGGCACTGCCTGTCGTGTCTCTGCCACGTGGCAGAAGGGAATTGAGCCACGGAGACAGGTTGAGAGACAACGAGGGGCTGAAGGGTGTGGAGTGTGTAAGGAGGATGGAGAGGAGAGGGGGAAAGCCTGTGATTGGTCGATGCACAACAGCAGGAATGGGGGAAGATGGAGAGAGGGAGGAGAGGGAGGATGGAACTAGGGAAAATTGTGAAGAGAGGAGAGAGGAGGGGAGGGAGAAAGGGACTGCTGCTGTTGTAAGAGGCGGAGAGGGAGGGGGGGAGGTGGCTGAGTCAGAAGGGTGGTGTGCCACGTCATCAACGTCATCCGTGCTTGTGGGTGGGGAGGAGGAGTGTTGTGAAGGAGAGGAGTGTGAGGGACATGCAGAAGCAGAGGAGATGCGAGAAAGGGACAGCAAAGGTCGGGTGGAAGGGAAGAGTGAGGACGGAGAGTATGGTCGTGAGGGGAGTGCAGAGGAGGAGGGGCAGCGAGAGGCGGTGGGGCAAGGATGTAGGGGAGGAGAGAAGAAGGGGAGAGAGGGTAGGAGTGTTGCTGGCAGCAGCAGAAAGAGGAGGAGCGGAGGGATGAGGGAGAGCAGAGGAATGAGGGAGATCAGAGGGTGCAGAGCAGAGGGGGCCGGCGCAGCAGATGTAGGGATCAAGCAAGAAGCAGATGTAGGGATCAAGCAAGAAGGAGATGTAGGGATCAAGCAAGAAGCAGATGTAGGGATCAAGCAAGAAGGAGATGTAGGGATCAAGCAAGAAGGAGATGTAGGGATCAAGCAAGAAGGAGATGGCGTGGCTTCACAAGGGCAGAACGCTGCAGTGGCAGCAGCGCAAGCAGGCCGACTGATGGGGCCGCATGGGGTGGCTTCACAAGGGCCGGAGGGCGAAGGTGCAGTGACAACAGTGCAAGCAGGCCGGGTGGCGGGGACTGATGGTGTGGTAGCGTCAACTGGGGCATGGGTGCCGCCTGTGTCTCCCTTCGGCCTCATTCAGGTGGGCTGCTCTTGAGTGCGGTGCACTGTGGTGGGCTATTGTGTGCTGAACTGTCACCCGCGCCTTTTGTGTTACTCATTCTCCACTCTTTCTCTACCCCCGCCCTTCTCCCTTCCTCCCTTCTCCACCCCCCCCTTCTCCACTCTCCCCCCACATCCCCCACTCAGGAGCGCCTGTATCGTGACCCTTGGAGACTGCTGGTTGCCTGCATGCTGCTAAACAAGACGGCTGGCAGGCAGGTGAGCGTCTTTGGCACTACAGAGTAGCATTGAGAAGGTCTTGATGCGTGCTGTTCATTTCCCCAATCGGATAGTTATCCTGAGTTTGTGTAACGAAGTCGATGTAGTCTGGTGGTGAGTATCCTCGCCTGTCACGCGAGAGACCCGGGTTCGATCCCCGGCATCGGCGTTCCAGTTTTTCTCTGCTGTCTTTGCGCTCCTGCTAGGGAGTACAACACCACATTACTGCTGCAAAACTCTACCAGCCAAACCTCCCTCTCCTCACGGCCCCTCTCCTCTGCCCCCCGCCCCCCTTCCTCCATTCTCTGGTTTCCCCTCCCACCACAACTCGTTATCAGAGTACATACCCTTGTTGTCATTATGAATTATCACGGCAGTCGGGAAGGACTACAATTCCATTCCCCCCACTCTCTTCCACATACGTACATCACGCTAAACCTGGTCTGGACGTAGATACGCACGTGCACTGATGGAGTGGCCTATACCTCACCACCATGTGCCTTGCATTCCTCTACCCCCTGCTCCTCAGCTACACCGCTCATTGAAAGCCCCACTTCCTCGTTTCCTTTTTGAGAATTCTCAAAAAACATACACTTCGTTACCCCATGTCTCCCTGTTGCAACCCCCTTTCCTCTTTGCGTAGGACCGCTGATTGCCTATTCCGCCTCATCCACTTGATTAAGGGTACCATCGCGGAACTCACCCTCACGCCTCTACTTGCACCCTCACGCCTCTACTTGCACCCTCACGCCTCTACTTGCACTAGTCTCTTTTAATCCCTCGCTTCCCTCCCATGCCTCCATGCTCCCAGCTCTAGCCGTTCACTTGTGACCTATTCCGCCGCATCCCCTTGCCCCAATCTGCCTTTGCTGCACCCATAGACTTAGTTGCATTGGTCTGCGTAAATCCCGCACTCCGCTGCCCTCTCCCTCTCCTTTTCTTTCTCTGCTGCTCCCTCCTCCTCCCTGTCCCTACAGCTCCGCCCAGTCATTTGGAACCTATCCCGCCACATCCCCTTGACCATTGCTACATCTTCTCGCCTAGTTCGACCATTGCTGTACCCACGCCCCTGATTGTGCTAGTCCGTTGCTTGCACTAAGGATTAAATGTCCCATATCCCCCCCTCCCCACCCCCACCCCCCCCCCCCACTGCAGCTCCGCCCAGTCATTTGGAACCTATCCCGCCACATCCCCTTGACTGGTTCGACCATTGCTGCACCCATTCCTCTGATTGCGCCAGTCCCTCTTGATCCCTCACCTTTCCATCTCTCGCTTCCTCCCCTCTCCCTACACCTCCCCCACCCCCCTTCCTCTTCCCCGCCCTCATCCCTCGGCCAAACCTCCACTGCAGCTCCATACAGTTATCCGCTTCCTGATCCCTGCTCCTCCTGCTCCCCAGCTGCGCTGTGTACTTTTGATCCTCGCCCCGTGTGCTCTGTTGCAGGCCCTGTTGCGAACCCCCTTCCTCTTGCTGCACTCCCACCGAGCCATCTGGAATTGGGCTCACTCTCGCAGTTCGCCTCATCTGCTAGCCTAGACCCAGCAGAGCTGTAACCGCAGACCAAATGGCACTGCTCATTGCTCTCTCTGGGACCTATTCCGCCTCATCCCCTTGCACTAGTCATCTTGACCCCTCAAACTACGCTCTCTCCCTTCCACCCTCTCCCCCTACCTCGTCCCCCTTCCCCCCTCTTCCTCACCCCAACTGCAGCTTCACCGAGTAACCTGGGACCTATTCCACCTGATGCCCTCGCACTACCCCAACCATCGCTGCACCCACGCCTCTGATTACACTTGTCTCTCTTGCACTAACAGTTGATGTCCCCTTCACCCACCCTCTTTCCTCCCCCCACGCCACCCCCCCCGGTATTGCAGCTCCACCGAGTGATCTGAAACCTATTCCGTCCCATCCCCTTGTCTTTTCCTACTGTCCTTTCCCCCCCAACCCCCCTCCCACCGCAGCTCCATAAGTGATCTGGGACCTATTCCGCCTCATCCCCTCTCACTAGTCTCTCTTGGTCCCTCAACATCTGCTCTCCTCCTTCCGCCCCCTCCCCTACCTCGTCCTTCCTGCCCCCGTTCTTCAACCCCACTGCAGCTCCTTTAAGTCACCTGAGACCTCGTCTGCCTCATCCCCTTTCACTAGTTCTTTTGACCCCTCAACCTACGCTCTTCCCCTTCTTTCCTGGCCCCTACACCTCTTCCGCCTCATCCCCTCACCAGAGGCAGCCATCGCAGCACCGACGGCTGAGATTGCCCGCATTCCCCTTCTCCCCCCCTCTCCCCTCTGCAGCTCCATAAAGTGATTTGGGACCTCTTCCGCCTCATCCCCACTCCAGAGGCAGCCATCGCAGCATCGACGGCTGAGATCGCGCGCACCATCCAGTCCCTTGGGCTGCACAACAAGCGCGCCGCCATGATCCAACGGTTCTCAGAGGAGTTCCTGAGGGGCGATTGGACGGACGTGAGGCAGCTGCACGGCATTGGCAAGTACGTGTGTGTGTCTAGGAGGGGTTGGGGAGAGGGGGGAGTGAGAGGGTGGGAGAAGGGCGGAGAGAGAGGGGGAGGGGGGGGGAGGGAGGGGGTTCAGGGGGTGATGCCGTGATCTAATGATTCTCAAATGAGAGAAGCTGTTTGGAGGAGGTGTTCGGTGTGGGGAGGGGACGGATGAAGTAGTGAATATGGCAGGGGACATGATATGTGGAGCATGAGATGTTAGAGGTCTGAAGCTGTTTCTGCCTTTGTGTGCTCCCCGCTCTTTGTCGATTATTTCCCGCTCTCTCCTGTGCCTGCCTTTGCTCCACATCACTCTCACACTCTCTTGCTCTTTTACACTCTCCACTGCCTGCTGCCTGCTGCTTGCTGCCTGCTGCTTGCTGCTGCCTGTTGCCTGCTGTGTGTCTTCACCATACCAGGTATGCAGCGGACGCGCATGCGATAATCTGTGAGGGCAGTTGGTTGGAGGTGAGGCCAACGACCACATGCTCTCACATCCCTCCCCTTCTGCCCCACCTCCTTCTCCCCTTCACCATGGCAGTTACGCAGCGGACGCGCATGCCATATTCTGTGAGGGCAGGTGGAGGGAGGTGAGACCGGACGATCACATGCTGAATAAGCCCTGTGCCTGTCTGTGCTCTCGCAACACATCCCTCCCTCCCCATCCATTTCTTCACCATGCCAGGTACACAGTAGATACGCACTCCATAACCTGTGAGGGCAGATGGAGGGAAGTGAGGCTGCACAGTCACATGCTCACGAAGTCCCGTGTCTCTCTGTGCTCTCACATCCCTCCCCCTCCATTCTTCACCATGCCAGGTATGCAGCGGACGCGCATGCCATATTCTGTGAGGGCAGGTGGAGGGAGGTGAGACCGGACGATCACATGCTGAACAAGTACTGGGACTGGCTCAAACGCACCGACGGGCTTGGCCTTGCCTTCACCGACAACTGAGGGCTCTCCTGTTGCTGCTGCTGCCGCTGCCGCCGCCGCCGCCGCCGCTGCCACTGCCACTGCCTCTGGCTGGCCTACTTGCATGGACACACGGCTCAAGAAAGACGGACGATCACATGCTTAATGAGCAGTGGGACTGGCTCAGGCGTTCTGACAAGCCCGGGTTGGCTTTCACTGACATGTGCGGGCCGATTGGCCACAGCTCGAGATGGGCGATCAGATGCTGAGCAAGAACAGGGACTGGCTCAGGTGCACCGAGGGGAGGGGCTTGTGGTAGATTGGCGTTCCCTCACACTTGCACCCATATGCTGTGGTTTGTACCTAGAGTGATGGAATTTTTAGGTGCCTCACACCATTCTTACCGTGTTCTGTGCTTTGGACCCACAGCCACAGTGCAAGCAATCCAGGAGTGAAGGCATGCATGGAAACACTAGACCGGACTCGGTGTGATGTGAGGCCTTTGGTCAGCCTGTGTTGACCATCTGTCTTGTACTTGCTCATTACTCCACCAAAAGATTCTGCTGTCAATCCACTCACACACCATCCATCCACCCTCCCGTCCCGAGTCCCAGCGCACGTACTACTGGTAAGGGTAGCAACAACTCACACACCCTACCCGTCAAACTTCTTTATTGGTGTAAACAGGGAAGATTAGCTAACAAAAATCACAGTAATGACAAAAATAGGTATTTGCAAGGGCATCAACTGCGGTATCCTATCGAAGCCTGCTCCTCCCAATCATTCAATGAGCCAATGAATGAACCAATCAGGACACCCTCATGCGTCCTGGTACTTGATCAGCCTCTGAAAGGAAGCCGGCCGGAGCATGCCAGCATACCGAACCGATGCGCCATTCGGCAGAGCCGGACAGCAACCCCCCAGCAACATGCAGACTCAGCACGAGCAAATCAATCAATCAGGGTACCCTCTGTCATCCAGCACTTTGATCAGCCTCTGGAACGAAATCGGCCTGAGCATACCCGCATAGGTGTCATCGGGAGGAGCGGGATAGCAGTCCCCCAGCACGTGCAAATCCCGCATGCCCCTAGCCCCGCGCACCACCACATTCAGCAGATGCTCATTGGCCGTCGTGCAATGCACCGCCAGCTGGCGCAGCGACTGGCACGACCCGAGGATCCCAGCAGACGGCATCGACATGGATCGACGGTTGAGATCGCAGTCCGACGGCGGCCAGTAGTGCAGCGATTCTAGCCCCGGCAGCAGCTGGATTCCATGCAGGTAGAACCTTTCCCAGGCCATCACATCAAAGGCTAGCCCAGGTGGGCAGCTCAGGGAATGCCCCACCACTTGCGTCAAATCGAGCCGCAAAAACCGCAGCGCCGGGTAGCCGGCCAGACAGGAAAGGCCGAAGCCCGCCGCCCCAGGGCCGCCGGCTGCGAGTCGACAGTCGCCGTACACTCGGATGTGGACGTGGGAGAGGAGGGGGCAGTGGAGGAGGCCGGCAGAGGGGAGTTGAAAAAGGAGGGTACCCAAGGGAGCGAGGAGAGTGAGGGACTGCAGCGCAGGCCATTCGGAGGAGTCCGGTGCGGTGGAAAGGTCTTGTGCTGCTTCTGAGCCGTACAGCAGCTCTTCTGTGCCGTCTGCTCCTGCCCTGCCTTCCATACGCCGCCCCCCCCCCGCCTGCTTCACCATTCCCTCTCCTGCCCCTTCACCAGCAGCACCACCAGTAGCACCGGCACCAGTACCATCAGCACCGTCACCATTTCCATCTGCACCGCTTTGAACCGGGGAAACAGGGGCTACGCTGCTGTTTGGGCAGAACCAGTCACAGGAGCAGTGCAGGTGCTGCAGTGTGCTTCTAACGGGGGAGAGAGCCCTGAGCACTGCTGCTGTGGGCAGGTTGCAGCACTTCACTACAGTCACCCGAACCAGCGAGTGCCGGCACACCCGAGCCACGGCCTCCAGGCTCGGCGGGGTGAGGTCCGGGCAGCCCCAGATGCTGAGCTCCTTGAGGCGCGGGCAGGAGAGGGCGAGGGGGAGCAGGCAGCGCAGGGGAAGTGAAGGGGCTTGCCAGAAGTCGAGAGCTTCAAGGCCCCCAGGGAGGATGGTGGATGTGGAGGGAGGGGTGGTGGTTCCTTGTGCTGCTGATGAGGATGATGCAGACGAGGAGGAGGGTGTTTTCCCAAATGATCCCTGTGCAGATGAACCTTCCCCGGATGTACCTTCCCCTGATGCAGGCACTGGCGCCAGCGAGTCATTGTGGGCGAAAACCAGCTGACCCAGCCGCAGGCGCTTCAGGTTCGGACTCAGCTGGCCCAGACTCACCGTTGCTGTCACCCCACCCCTCCCTCCACCTCCTCCACCACCGGCAGTGGTACCACCAGCAAAGGCACCAGCAGCACCACCGAACAGACTCACATCTGCCCCTCTCAGATACTGTGCCGGCCGCAAATCCAGCTCCTCCAGCCCCGGCAACCGCGCTAGAAACGACCGAATGCCGCCCGGCGTGACCCGCGCATCCATATCGGGCGGCAGCGCGTCGTCATGGTCCCCGAGCGCGAGCGACAATCCCGAGGGCGCCGCCCAGAGGGACGAATCCACCAGCTGTAGCGCCGTCAGCACCGGACACCTCTCGGCGATCTCAATTAGGGTTTCGTCTGAGAGGGAATCAGAGAGGCGCGGGTCGAATTCGACGAGGCAGCGGAAGGAGAGGAGGGTGCGGCCGGCGGCAGTGAGGATTGAGCGGACGTCTGAGGCTTTAAAGGCGCCGGGGGAGGACTTGAGGAGGTTCAGGTGGCGGAGGGCGGAGATGGGCGCGGAGGGGCGGGGGAGAGGCGCGCGGGGGGGCTTGTACGGGGGTTCCGCTGCTGCTGCTGCTCCACTGGCCGAAGCAGCAGCGGCGGTGGCGGCGGCGGTGGCGGCAGCAGCAGCAGCAGCAGCAGCAATGGCAGCGGCGGCTTGGGGAGCAGCAGTGAAGGCATCAGTAACGTGGTCTGGGAAGCACGTGAACTCGGATAGGTCTATGCTCTGCACTCGGCTGCACATCACTAGTAGTGGAGTCAGCTCTAGGGTTCCCAGCGGGTTGGCATTCAGATTAGGGTTTCCGGTGTTGTTGTTGTTTGCCCCTTGCTCTGCTGCTGCTGCTGCTGCTTCCGCTGCAGAAAACTCGTGCCAGCGGATCAGAGCCACGTGCTCCAGCCCAGGCCACGTGGCCGCCACGCACTGCACGTCGTTCCGGTCGCGCACGTGTACGCGGAGAGAGGTCACCCGCGGAAAGGCCGCGCGGAGCGTCGTAGCTACCTCAAGCGCGGTCCCCGCGAGGAGCAGCGGTTGCCCGCAGGGGGGGCAGAGGGACAGATCGAGTCGGCGCACGTTGGGGAAGCATCGCGGAAGCTCCAGGAGGTCCGCGAGGGAGCGGCGGACGGAGAGGGAGGTGCGCGTGAGGCGCTCGCTCATGCGCCATCGGCGCGAGACGAGCGCGCAGCAGTTGCGCGCGCGCGCGTATGAGACCCGCGCGATGATCTCGAGGATGACCTCGTCGGGGAGTAACCCCTCCGTCGTGCTCTCCGCTGCTGCCACGTCAGCCTTCGTTGGGTGCGCTGCGGCTTCTCCAGCTCGCTCCACGTCAGCTCCGCCTTCAGCGGCCACGTCAGCTCCGCCTCCGCTACACGTATCAGACGCACCCCGACCCTCGGCGTCTCTCGCACACGCAACTTCCAGGAACCTTCTAAGGCCCAACAACGGATTTGTTGAGATACCGAAACCTAACCCGTTAGCTGCCGCAGATAGTGCGTTCGCGTTCGTGGGAGCTTGAGCCAATGGATGCGCGGACAACGAGGACGCGTATAACGAAGCCGCGTATACTGAGGATGAAGGATTGACTGCTGTTTCAAACTCTCCGACCTCGTCATCACCCTCTACAACGGCTCCGCGAAAAAAAGCGTCATCGTTTCCGTCAACTGACGTACAGTTTCTATCCGCTAAACCGTTTCCGTTATCGTCCTCTAAATCCTCGCTGAATCCGTCGTCTTCCACCTCCTCCTCCTCCTCCTCATCCTCCTCCTCCTCCTCCTCCTCCTCCTCTGCTCTCTCGTTATCACCCGCTCCGCTATCCTTCTCATTCCTCGCAAAACCAGGAACTCTCGCCGACATGAAATCCCCTCCCTCCGCGACATCAAGCTCACTCGGACTCCGTCCCCGCTTCCTGTTGGATCCACCAATCACGCCGTTTGGATGGCCACTGATGTCACCGGAACCATGATCGTCCGTACCATGACGGATCGCAGCATGACCGCTAGTACATTGACCGATCGTATCGTGACCGTTGATATCAAACTCGCCTCCATCATTCCCACCTTCCTCCTCCACCTCCTCCGCCTCCTCGCTTTCCACGTCGAAATCACTGTCCAAATCTCCCCCGCTCAAGTCATTCGCCATATCCCCTCCTCCGCTGCTTCTACCCTCTTGATCCTCCTCCTGCGCCTCTTTCTCCGCGCCCGCCGATTCATCCCATACATGCCTCCTCACGAACACGCCGTTACTCGCGCTCATCTTGGTCCTCCGAGTTCACGCGCTAAATCGCATGCAAAAAAAGTTTTAGTCAGTGCCCCTTGCCACAGTGCGTCAGTAATTTTTTCCTGCACCTGTTTCTCGCGAAAAGCGGCTTCACTTGAAATTTCTTCGCAGCGCGCGCAGCCTGTCCGTCACTTGAGGTTCTGCGCGGCTCGTTCAAGGATTACTCAGCTTTGCGCAGCGATTGGCAGGGATAGGCGGGCAATCAGTTGCTCTCCGAAACAAGATATGGGGGAATGAGGATAAGCATCCCCATACAGTACCGTATCCATATCGCAACTCAATCCAGCCCTAGCAGGAGGGAGGGAGTGGGAGTGTGTGCGAGGAGATCCGTCAAGAGCTCTATAAAATCAGTCAAGCGGATGAGGGATTTGCAGCTAGCGGCAGAGAAGAGAGCAGCAGAGCAGAGGGCAGAAGTGATAGGGGAGCGGGGAGAGGGGAGCGGGGAGAGGGGAGCGGGGAGAGGGGAGCGGGGAGAGGGGAGCGGGGAGAGGGGAGCGGGGAGAGGGGAGCGGGGAGAGGGGAGCGGGGAGAGGGGAGCGGGGAGAGGGGAGCGGGGAGAGGGGAACGGGGAGAGGGGAGCGGGGAGAGGGGAGCGGGGAGAGGGGAGCGGGGAGAGGGGAGCGGGGAGAGGGGAGCGGGGAGAGGGGAGCGGGGAGAGGGGAGCGGGGAGAGGGGAGTGGGGAGAGGGGAGCGGGGGGGGGGGTGGGTGGGAAGTGGGGAAAAGCCAAACAATGTTGGGTTGGGATGGGGATTGAATGAGTTGCGCCTAGGGAAAAAGCAGCCTGCATGGTCCTGGTGAGAAGCAGACAAGCTTGGCGTTGGCGAAAGCAGACAGGCTTGGTCCTGGCGAAAAGCGAACAATGTTTTGGCCGTGTCGAGGCTTGGCGTTGGCGAGAAGCAGACAAGCGTAGCCGTAGCGAAAAGTTATCAGGCTTGGCGAACTTGTCTGCTCTGGCGAAAGTTGACAGGTGGCGACAGCTGGCGCTGCCAGGCCTCGGGTCAGTTCCAGGCGTGTTTTCCAGCAGCACCTGTTGCTCGGACATTTTCTGGATTTCCATCTGAACCGATGTGTAATACGTAATTTTTCCCTCCCGAGCTGAACATATTGCACGAGTTCGGGTCGATAACCGATGACCACATCACTCCAGCTTCGTCGCTGACTGTTGATTCCCCGCCCACGCAAGTGTGGTGGTGGTCCCGCTTTGGCGCACTCTGCTGCTCACCCCCCAGGGCTCGGGTGGTTGGTTGAGAACAACGTGGCTGAAATCAACGGTACGGAACGAACGACAATCTTCCGAAATATTTGCTTGGGAGTCTCAGGTTGTATCTCATAACGAGGATAAAAGGGAGAAGTGAAGGTGCTAATCACGTATATTGCTCTGACTCCATTCTTGTACAGCGCAATAAGTGCCATCACACAAAATTCCACCCCTGATTCAGGGAAAGTGGAAAAAGCCAAGCCCATACACAGAAATTGGTTGCACGGCACATACATGCGGGTTCCAAAAGTTGCAGCAGGCTTCAACAATTTATTGGGAGCCAAAACCTGAGAGGGCACAGTGCGGGAGATAAATATATGAAGCTGGCACGACTACAAAGAATGTGACAGAACAGTGGAAGGGGACAACGTGGTTGAGAAAGGGAGACGGAGAGGGGGGAAAGGAGTTGTGCAAATGTAACAGGGATAGCATGCTGGCACGAGGACAATACAAGTGGACTCACTTGAATATTTTTCCAGCATGCTTGGTCCATTCCTTCACTCCTTCAGATTGGTTGGCTTTCACATGCAAAACCCTTGCTCCTTTATGTCCCTCCCATCACCTCCCCCTCCTTCCTCCCTACAAACGTCACCATATAGCCTCTCAAAATCCTCATCCTTCAGCCGCAGCACGAAGCTCAGGCTCACATGCAGCCCAGCCCGAGCCACACACCCGAGCCTCGGCCGAATCCGCCGAGCCAAACTGTACCCGAAATACTGTGGGTGCTGAACCGCCTCTTCAATACCCCTCCCCACTTCTTCCAGGTACTGTAGCTTTGGCATTAAGTTATCATTCCAACTGTAATTGAAGAGATGCGGGAATTTCTGAACCATATCAATAGTGAGGTGCGGTGGGATGCCATAACTGTCAAATGCAGCAATCGTGGGAAGGATTCGTTTAGTAGTGGAAAGTCCAAGGATCGATGGATTGGATCGGATGAGTTTTGCAGGCTTGTCGATTCCCGAACCAAGCCAGAAGGTAAGGGTCGGTTGAAGGTTTTCTAAAATGGAGTAGGTTAAGCAGCGTGGGTGGCGTGAGATCACCACAGGGATGTCGCGTGATTGGTCGAGTCCCCATTCTTCCACCAGGTGGGAAATCGTTGGGCAGATATTGTCTTCAATGCTCAGCCCGAGGAGCTGTGGGCAGGCAGACAAAACTTTCCCAGTCAAGCCCGGTTGGACGCCAATGGAGTTGAGGTAATCCGCCATGGCTCGGGCAGTTGAAGGAGGGTAAAATAAGAGTTTGGGAAAGGAGGAGAGGGCCTTTCCGATGTCTACCCCCAAACTCTGGAGAAATACCAGTCTTTCCATCGCCACGTCAGCAGGCATCGCGTGGTACTGAGTCAGAATGCGGGACATCTTACGTGGCTGCACGCCAATCTCCGTCAGCATCAGCCGCCATTCCGCCTCGGACGGACTCAGGTAGGTGAACGAAGACTGGGGAGGTTTAAGCCTCGCCTTAACCGCATCTGACGATCCCACGACATGCTTTAGTGACGGCACCCGGGACCGCTTCCTTCCATCGCCGCCGCTGCTGCTGCTGCTGCCACTGCTACTCCTGCTGCCGCTGTAAGAGTGGCAACTGTACCCTCTACTAACCGTGCAGCTGTCACGCTGCAACAAGACGGTTCCGGATCCTCTGAATGTTTCCGCCGCCGAGTTTAGCCTGGGTTCTACTAGGCTGTTCGGTAGCGCAGACGCGCATCGACTCCCCTCGTTAACGGAAACTCTTGCACGCGACTCGCTCTCCCCTCCCCACACTTGGTTAACTCTACTCGTCCTGGCTAGTGCTGCAGCCTTGCAACGGGTATATTGTGGTAAAGTGGAAAGTGTCGTCATGAAACGTGTCGAACTGATACGAGTGGAGATAAAGCGACCTGACAGGTCACTTGCCATCCCGATGGATCGGAAAATAGCTATGGGATACGAGACTGGTCAGCTCGTTTGTGAAAGCTGGTCCTCATCAGATGCGTATAGGCGAGGGAACTGACACCATTAGCGGGCATGGCGGAGCTGCTCGTAACGACACGAGTGCCATCAGAAGCGGAAATGCGGCAATGATTGGCTGGAGGTGGTACCTTTGAATTGCTTGTACGCGCTATAAATACGCGTTTCTCAGGAAGGACAGCCTTTCTCACAGAATAAAAGGCTTGCATTTTAGTTAATTGCTTGTAATGACATGCATCAAAGTGTGAACCCAATCATTGGTAATCTAAGAGATATGTGACATCCAGCAAGTCATTAGCATACGAGATAGGAGAAGAAAAAATTACCGTACATGGATCAATACCGGCCTTCACATGAATTTGAACGAGACTCCAGTGCCTCTTATGCACAATGTAATTATGTTATGTACATACATACTTAACCACCCTACCCCACACAGCTTATTCAGCTGTATTGGAACACTAGCCATCTCCATGCACTCAACTAATTGAGCGTAGGGCACTTGGCATCAAGAAAGTCTCGTAACATCTGAGCTGGGCGCATGCCGCCCATGATTGGTGCCAACTCATTGACGTGCATCAGCGCCAGCTCAGCCAAGCTGCCACAGCTATCAACCAATGAGCGGTAATTCGCGTCGGAGACCCCGGGCAGGCGCCGAAGAAACTCTACAGCTGTCGTGTTGAAATGCTCGTCTCTGGTGGGATAATGACCATAAAGGGCAGTATAGGGCGGACAAGTAGAGATGAGCATTGCACAGCTAGTGAGAGTGAATGAGAGTGAAAGTGAGCGAGAGAGAGACACAAATGTTCGGGTGGCACAAAGAGCAGTCCCTCCGCATGGCACACAGAGCAGTCCCTCCGCATGGCACACAGAGCAGTCCCTCCGCATGGCACACTCAGCTCCATAACCTGGCCTGCTGGGCCTTAGGGGACGTGCAGTGAAAACCTTGGAAGGATAATGCGTACCTGTGGTGCTCCCTGTTTCCTATGCTATCCTCCCCTGCTCCATGCCACCTGTTCTCAACTCACATCTCGTTTCCTCCTACAGCCCCACCTCATCTATCGACACTGCTTTTGAGAACTCTCAAGAACCAACCCCTCCCTTGCAGCATGCTCTTCTCAACTCATATCCCATTTCCCCCTACAGCCGCACTCATCTCTCATTACTGTTTACCCCTGTGCTTCACATCACCCCACCATACTCTTCTGCTTTGAATGCACTCAAAACCCTACCAACCTCGTATCATCCTCCCTCTCAGCCTACTGTCTCCCAACCGCATGATATCACCTAGCCCCTACCTCGGACCACCAGCAGCCACCCTGGCTTGTATCACCAACGTTGTGAAATTGCTGGAACGGTACAATTCAAGCATACCTTGAATGTCACCGTACCTCGTGTCACCCTACCTCGTGTCACCCTACCTCGTGTCACCCTACCTCGTGTCATTCTGCCCCTACCTTGTGTCACTCTGCCCCTACCTTGTGTCACTCTGCCCCTACCTTGTGTCACTCTGCCCCTACCTCGTGTCACTCTGCCCCTACCTCGTGTCACTCTGCCCCTACCTTGTGTCACTCTGCCCCTACCTTGTGTCACCCTCCCCCTACCTCGTGTCACCCTCCACCAGCCCATCTTCTGTCGGCACGCCGACCCTCATTGCCTGGTCGACACTTGGCTCGTCCTGATTGGTTTTCAGCGACGCGAAGATCTCAGCCGTCGCATGGAGCGATCTGGACCACACGATCCGCAGGCGCGGGAAGTGCAGCGCGAGCAGCGACATCTTGGATATGATGCTCGATGGAGTGATATCATCGCTGATGTCACTCGCTGACTGGGAATGTGGGAATTGGGAGGTGGGGTGGAGAGAGAGAGTGAAAATACAGAGACAAGTATGAATGAAAGTACTTAATGAGGAGCACGTAGAGGCGGGCGGTTCATGGCCTCTTGGCCTCTTGGGATGATCCGGGCACCCAGAGGCAAAGCATGCTTCAGGTCTCTCACTCTTCTGAGCTGACTTGTAAGTCGCTCAGAGGAAAAGCACCCAAAGGGGTCGCTCAATCCTTGCACTGGCAGTGAACTGAGAGCCCCTGTTACATATAGCTAGAGAAGCTCTCGTCACTCAAGAATTCGATGAGCAACACCGGAAGGCGGTAGTAGCCGCCTGATGCAAGTGAGGCAAGCAGGTCGCTCACTTGCTCTTCTCAACCAGTGACCCTCTGGCGAGCCCCTGCTTACCTGCAGACAGAAGCTCTTGTTGCTGGAGAACTCAATGAGCAGCACAGGCAGGTGGTAGTAACAGCACATGGCCTCTGCCTGATGGTGTAAGCGGCCCAAAGCGAAGGAGGCAATGAGGCCGCTTGCACACAACAGTCTCTTTTTACCTGCAGCGAGAAGCTCTTGTCGCTCGAAAACTCAATGAGCAACACCGGAAGGCGGTAGTAGCGGCACATGGTCTCCGCCTGGTGGTGCAGGCGCCTCGAAGCAAACAAGTCGCTGACGCTCTTGAGAGAGGATGTAGTGAGAAAAACTCATGCTTGCCTGCAGACAGAAGCTCTTGTCGCTGGAGAACTCGATCAACAGCACTGGCAGGCGGTAGTAGCGGCACATGGTCTCCGCCTGGTGGTGCAGGCGACCCGATGCAAAGGAAGCACAGAGGAAGCTCACTCACTCTCTCTTCTGAACCACAGAGATACAAAGAGCCTCTGTTACCTGTTTTTGAGACGTCTCAAAAACACAGAGATACCAAGAGCCCCTGTTACCTGCAGAGAGAAGCTCTTATCGCTGGAGAATTCTATCAGCAGCACGGGAAGGCGGTAGTAGCGGCACATGGTCTCCGCCTGGTGGTGCAGGCGGCCTGACGTGAAAGAAGCAAAGAGATCGCTGATGCTCTTGCGCTCCACACAGATGTCCGGGGAAAGAATGTAGTCGCCCACTTCGAGGGTGACAGGGAGGATCCTGATGCCCCGCTGGTGCAGCACGCAGGGGAGACTGCTGTTAAATTCTCTCATGTCTACCACCACCTGTCGGAGGGAGGGGAGGGGTGTGCGGATGCAAGATGAAGGAAGGCAGTGATGGGGTGGTGAAGCGACGCTCTTGCGCTCCACACAGATGTCCGGCGAGAGGATGTAGTCGCCCACTTCTAGTGTGACTGGGAGGATCTTGATGCCTCGTTGGTGCAGCACGCAGGGCAGGCTGCTGTTGAACTCCCTCATATCCACGCATGCAAGGTGAAGGTGTGATGAAAAGCGGGAGAAAGGAGACACCACCGCTTGCTGTTGAACTCCCTCTAGTGTCAATTACCACCTACTATATAGAGGGGGATGCATGCAAGGTGTATCTTCAAGCCTCTACGTGCCACAGAGGTGCAAGCAGGGAGGAGGGACAGCAAGCAGAGAGGTATGTACTCTAACATTCCTCTCGTATCATATCAACCCCCCTTCCTGCCCCTCCCTCCCTTCCACACCCTCCTTCTCAGATTCACTCACCCTCATTTCTTGTCGCTCTGTTGCTCTGCGCCCTCCCCCTCTCCTCGTGATAGCGTTCGCAGCAGCCGGGTGGGTGAGAGGCGGAGGAGGCAAGGCCATGTGCGCATAGTCTGTGGTAGACCGGCCGTCCTGATGGGACGTGAATGGGTAGCAACACGAGGAAAGAAGGAGAAGATTCAGAGGGGCAGGGGCGGAGGAGGCAGGGTCATGTGGGCATAGTCTGTGGTGGACTGGCCATCCTGATAGAGAATGAGCAGGAGCAAGGCGAAAGGAAAGAAATAAGTCAGCGACACAGGTGGGTGGGAGAGGGGCGGAGGAGGCATGGTCATGTGGGCATGGTCCGTGGCAGACCGGCCGTCCTGGCGAGCTGGGAATGAAGGAATGAATGGGAAGGGCGAGCAGAAGACGAGATGAATGAGGATTAGAGGAAGCAAGAGAAAGGAGAGAGGTAAGCCAGAGCCACGTGTATGTTGGGGAGAAGCGGAGGAAGGGGGCACGCGTGATCGGCTGCTGTGTTGCTTGCACCAAGCCACCCGTTGACTGTTGAGTCGACTCAAAAGTCAACTTGCTCTGTTGCTTGCACCAAGCCACCCACCCACCTGTTCTGCCGGGATGGTCATCACGGCCTTCTGTCTGATGAGCTGCTCAAAGCATACGAACCATGCGCTGTTACAAAACACAATACCCACCCACCTGCTGGTAGGCAGTGCAAGAAACCACCCACGCACTTGCTCTGCCGGGATGGTCATAACCGCCTTTTGTCTGATGAGCTGCTCGAACGCCCCGTTCTCGCGCCGCACGCTCACCTCAAACTTGTGGCCCTCCGTGGCACAGAATGCAACACAGCACACCTCACATGCTCCTCACCTGCTCTGTTGGGAGAGCGATGGTCACATGTGCACATACTGCATGCACACCTGCTCTGCCGGGATGGTCATCACGGCCTTCTGCCTGATGAGCTGCTCGAAAGCCCTGTTCTCGCGCCGCACGCTCGCCTCAAACTTGTGGCCCTCCGTGGACCCCTCGTGGAACAGGAAGAGCACCCTCAGGGGAGGCTGCTGCTGTGACCGTGCAGGGACAGCAGTACTAGCACCAGAACCACTAGCAGCAGCAGCAGCACCCATGACTGATCCCCCTTCGACAGGCTCTTTTATTCTCCCCCTGACTCCACACACGCCATCCCCCCTTCCCCCCTCTGAACCACCTTCTCCCTCCCGGGCAGCTTCCGAAGCAGCCGCCCCACTTTCTTCCCTGCCCGCCGCACCTGCCCAAGCCCTCGCTCGGGCAGCGTGAAATACTTCGATCTGGCGAACGAGCTCTATGTCGGGATCATAGACCACCACCACGCCCGGCTGTAGCCGCTCCAGCACGTGGGATGCGCCCTCCAGCGTGCACAGGTGCACAGCTGGCAGCCTCCCATTGGCCGATGGTGGGACAAACTCGAGGCGGATGCGGGCGGGGAGGGGGACGGAGGAGTCGGGGTGTGGGGGGACGGGATGTCGGGTGGGGTTGCGCGGTGCCGACATGGATGGTGCAGAATTAGAGAGTGCAGAGTTGGTGGGTGGAGGCTCAGATGGTAGAATGGGTACATTGGAGTTTCGGATGGGTGACGAGGTGTCAGGGTTGGTTCTCTGGAGTTTCCGCCTTTTCGCTCCCTCATTCATTTCCCCGGAATCCTTTGCATTCCCCTCAACGTCCCCCACTATTGCCTCAACGTCCCCCACTATTGCCTCAACTTCCTCTATAAGAACCACATCACTATCACTATCACCATCACTATCATCATCACCATCCTTGTCATTATTGCCAATGCTGGCCAATCTAGCCCCTTCCTCCTGCTCCTCCTCCCCTTCCTCCGCCTCCCCTTGCTCTTGCTCCTGCAAGCTTTCTTCCATCCCTCCTCGTTTCCTCTTCCTCTCTCCTCCCCGCCCCCTCCCGCGTGCTCCAGACACCCTACCACTTTTCCTCCCTCTGGCCCCTCCTCTCCCTCGCCCTCTCCTCCCCTTCCCTCTCCCCCTCCCTCCCTTCTCTCTCCCCTCCCTCTCTGTTCCCTCATCACCACCCTTGTCCTCCTCACTACCGTTTCCCCTCTCCTCTCTCGCCTCTTTCGCCACCTCCCCATCACCTTCCCCGTCCCGTACCTCTCCCTCAGCATTCGCCCTTTCCTCCCTGTTAGCTCCCCCCTGCACCTCTTGAACCTCGTTCCCATCCTCAAACCCACCTCCACCCCTCTCCACCACTTCCAAATCTAGATCCAGTCGCACATGCCGCCCGTCTGCTTCTATTCCCCTCCCACCCCCTGCTGCTGCCGCACCCCTTTTTCCCCTCCCTCTCCTCCCTCTCCCCCTCCCCCCACCCCCTCCCCTTGCCCCTGCACCCCCACTTTCCCCCCTCACTCCCCCATCCCCCCTCGCCCCTCCTTGCATCCGCCCTCCTCTTGCTACCTCCCCTCTCAACCCCCCACTCTCCTCCTCTTCCCTCCCAGCCATCACCCACTCCCCTCCCCTCTCCTCCTCCATTTCCCTCCTCACTTGCTTCGCTGCCGCCAGCAGCAGCAGCTGCTCTCTCTGAAACGAGTCCATGCCACTCTCGTTTCTAGAAGCGCCATTTCCTCCACTCCGGCTGCTGCTGTTGCCACCGATACCACTGCCACCGCTACTGCTAGCATTGCCAGCGGCAGCGCCAGTAGCAGCGGAAGCTGGCGCATGCCTCCGTCTGGGAAGGTTCGCCTTCATGAGGTCAGCTTTGGCCAGTAGGTAGTGCTGCCACTCGCGCTGCATCACCTGGGGATAGGGGCACAGAGGAAGGGGGATGGGATAAAATATTCAAGGTTGTACGGCAAGTGGTCTTATGAGGTCAGCTTTGGCCAGTAGGTAGTGCTGCCACTCGCGCTGCATCACCTGGGGATAGGGGCACAGAGGAAGGGGGATGGGATAAAATATTCAAGGTTGTACGGCAAGTGGTCTTATGAGGTCAGCTTTGGCCAGTAGGTAGTGCTGCCACTCGCGCTGCATCACCTGGTGATGGCGGGAAGAAGGGAGGGCAGGAGGAGAGAGAAATGGGGAAGGGTGGACTGTGAGAGGGGCTGATCATTTGAGGGAGCATGGAACAATGATGACCAGCATACCCCCTCACAACGTCAGCTCTTGCCACTTGCAGTGCATCATCTGTTAATGACGGGAGAGGGATGGGTGAATGCAGGGAGGGAAGGGGTATAAGTGAGTGTGAAGAGGTAAAAAGGGAGAGAGCAAATCGTTAGAGGGCGTATGCAGCAAGACCAGTGGCATGGGCGTATGCAGCAAGACCAGTGGCATGGGCGTATGCAGCAAGACCAGTGGCATGGGCGTATGCAGCAAGACCAGTGGCATGGGCGTATGCAGCAAGACCAGTGGCATGGGCGTATGCAGCAAGACCAGTGGCATGGGCGTATGCAGCAAGACCAGTGGCATGCGTGCATCCCCACGAGGCCAGCATTCACCAGCAGCCACTGTTGCCACTGCACGTGGGCAGCAGTAGGGAAGGTGTGGAGTGCAGCAGTAGGGAAGGTGTGGAGTGCAGCAATAGGGAAGGTGTGGAGTGCAGCAGTAGGGAAGGTGTGGAGTGCAGCAGAGAGCTCACCGTGGCGGCACCAAGGGCAAGCACGTCCCGCAGCTGGTGGCAAGTGCGCTCGTCCTTGCATGCCACAAGCACGGGGGGTTCTGCTGCTGATGGTGCTGGTGGTGGTGCTTCTGCTTCCTGCTGTTGTGCGCTGCACTCCGTTTGAATCTCTTCAAGAAGTTCCTGTTGGAAGGGGAGCGGATGGAGGTCAAGACGCAAGGAAGCAAGTGGGTAAAAAAACTGTCTCAAATCTTGATGCGAAGGACAGAAATTCTCTCACACACACCTTTACTTTACCTTTACTTCATCAGACTCCCACACATCATATTCCACTTGGGCATTTCCTCCAGCACCGGCTGCAGCTCCAGCACACCCTCCCATAAAGGCCTAGAGGCAGCCTGATGCACGTCATCTAACCCACCCTTGCATCATCTCACTCACCCGCAGCACCGTCCACTTGGGCATCTCAAATTGGTAAAAAAACTGTCTCAAATATTGATGCGAAGGACAGAAATTCTATCACACACTCCTTTACTTTATCTTTACTTTATCAGACTCACCCGCATCACCTTCCACTTGGGCATTTCCTCCAGCACCGGCTGCAGCTCCACCCCCCCCCCTCCCCCCCCTCCCCCCACCCACCCCCATTCTAAGCTTACAAGCAGGCTGAACCCTACTTTCAGACAGACTCGCCCTCACATCATATTATCAGTCACCTACGAGGTGACTTTTGAGTCGACTCAAAAGTCACCTCGCCCTCACATCATATTATCACAGTCACCTACGCCATCAGACTCACCCACAGCACCTTCCACTTGGGCATCTCCTCCAGCACCGGCTGCAGCTCCAAACCACCACCATCCCACTCTAGGCTTACTAGTAGGCTGAAACCTACTCTCAAAGAGACTTACAGTCACCTTTTCGTTATCTCACTCACCCGCAGCACCTTCCATTTGGGCATCTCCTCCAGTACCGGCTGCAGCTCCACCCCACCCTCCTCCCCGCTCCCCCTTCTGCCTCCCTCCTCCCTCACTTCCAGGCCCTGCCCTTCTTCATCAGTGCCCCTTTCCCCGCCCTCTCTGTACTTTTCCTCGCCCGTGCCTCCCTTTCCCTCCTGCTCCTTTCCACGCAAAGCCTGAGTGCAAGATGGGAGGACGAGAGAACACACCCAATGGAGAAAAACAGTTTCCGGCCATGAAGCTTTTGGAGCCGTAAACCAGAGCAGTACTATGCAGGTGCAGCGCAGCGACTGGCGCTCATGATGTGCTGCCATTGGTGGTGGACCTGCCGCTGCAGCTCATGCTCTCCTCAAAACTTGCATGCGGTGTGGTGCCGTGCAGTGCAGTGCGGTGCCGTGCAGTGCAGTGCAATGAATGATGGAGCTCACTCTTTTCTTGGCTGGTTGCTTCTCATGATGTGCCGCTACTGGCGGTGGAACTGCCACTGCTGCTGACCTCACAACCTGCAGGAATGCTTGGAATAGAGTCAGGAAAGAGAAACAAACGACCCATTTCCCCCACCCCCCTCCTACAAGAGCCACAACCATCCTGCAGAAGCAAAGTATCCGCAGAGCATGATAACAGTATGCCGAACAAAATGAAGGTACATATTGGTCCTGCCATCAACAAAATAGACCCGTTTGGCTAACTCAAATAAGTTGGACGCAAGGTCTATGCAATCTCCTTTTCCTCACGTATAACACCCATGCCCAATCCACTCACCCGCTCCTCTCGCCTCACTCACCTCGTGTACCCACCCCTTGCCCAGCTCTAACAACTTGGGTGCAGGGTCCAAAAAATGCCCTCATTCTCCCTCCCTGGCACATCAAGGCTCACCCCCCTCACCCGACATACCCACCTTACCCACCTGGTACACCCTCTGCTCGGCCAAATATCTTGGGCGCAGGGGGTTTTAAAATGACCTTTTCCTCATGTGCGGGGTTTGGCACATCTATGCTCAACTCAACCCCCTCACCTGATACACCCTCCGCTTGGCCAGCTCAAATATCTTGGGCGCGGGGTCCACAAAGATCCAGATGGCGGCCTTTGATTCGCTCGCCTTGAGCGCATCCAGGAAGCGCAGGAAGGTGACCGCGTCGTACCGCAGCAGATGCTCGGCTATTTTCCTGAGAGTCCTTAGATCGGCCACTAGCTGCATAATAGAACGGATGGGAGGGTAGGAACAAGGGGATGGGGATGAGGACCGGATGGGGAGCGGAGGAAGGTAACCGAGTCGTAGCGCAGCAGGTGCTCGGCTACTTTCCTCAATGTCCTCAGATCGGCCACCAGCTGCATGACGAGAAGAGAGACGGGGCACAGACAAAGGGGATGGGGATGTGGACGGGAAGAGGACGGCAGGAACGTGACCGAGTGCAGCAGATGCTCGGCTACTTTCCCAAGAGCCTTTGGATCGGCGACGAACTGTGTGGAAGAGAGGAGATGAGATGGAATATAATCCCAAGGATGAAATAGAAGAGATGCAGTGTATGTATGAGAATTCTCAGAAGAGATACATGGGGATGAGAATGAAGAGGACGCACAGGAAGGTAAAACAGAAAACACGATGTATGACATACCACCATACATGCACACATGAGGCACCTCACCTGCTTGATCTTGCGGCCCAGAGTGTGCCACACGGGATCCAGCTGGCGCCGCACGATCTCATCAAACGACTTGAACAGGCCGCTCTCCACCGTCAGATCGTCCACGTCCAGCTTGTTTGTATGGCGCAGATCCTTCAACAGAACAAATGAAAGAAGAACATATGAAAGGGTGGAGAGCAAGGGTTTGCATTGCACGGGATTGAGAAGAAGAACATATGAAAGGGTGGAGAGCAAGGGTTTGCATTGCACGGGATTGAGAAGAAGAACATATGAAAGGGTGGAGAGCAAGGGTTTGCATTGCACGGGATTGAGAAGAAGAACATATGAAAGGGTGGAGGAGGGTATCGTTGCACCCTTCCCATTTGCTTTCTGCACTACCTAAGAAGAAGAGCAAAACACGAAAAACAACTAGCTGTATCAAGCACATGTGGAGACGCCTCGCCTAAAGGCTCATACAGCTGTGAGGCTATGGAGAGGTTCGCAGCTGCAGGCACGACCCCATGATGCCTACGACGGCCTGCTGGATGCCTGCTGCTGCCAGCGAGAGTGGCACTATGGGGCTTTGGGAGGCTGTGGGGCTGTCGAGCTATAGAGGGGTGGAAGGCTGTACCTGCAGGCACGAGCCCATGATGTCAATGATGGCCTGCTGGATGGCTACTGCTGCTGGTGAGAGAGGGAGTAGGCTGTTAAGCTATGGGGCTACGGAGCCATGGTGGGCTGTGTGGCTGTCGGGCTATGTGGCTATGGGTAGCTGGGAGGGTGTGTACCTGCAGGCAGGAGCCCATGATGTCAACGATGGCTTGCTGGATGCCTGCTGCTGCCGGCGAGAGAGGCACCCTCACGTCCTCCACGTGCGGGGGGTGCTGCTCCAACGCCTGGGACACACTGACCTGAACGATAGGTGAATACGGGTGGAGGGATATGGTGTGGGTGGGCTGTGAAAGGTAAGAAGGATGAGGCTGCTGCTGCTGCTGGCAAGAGAGGCACCCTCACGTCCTACACATGCGGGGGGTGCTGCTCCAGTGCCTGTGACACGCTCACCTGGATGGTGTATGCATGGTTTAGGATGGTTCAATTATGCTCTCAAATAAAAAAACATGTCGTATTTGCACATAGGGAAATTAGATGTGCACTATGAGGACTTGCCTGGAAGCGCGGCCAGAAGTAGAGGCGGCGCAGGGGGAGCGCTTTGAGAATCCTCAGAAGGAGAAAGTGCTTCCACGGTCCACCTATACTATACTGCCTGAGGTGAGGACATCGACACGCTCACCTGGAAGCGCGGCGCAGGAAGAGAGCTTTAAGTATGCGCTCTGCCTTGTGGAATCCGGCAGCGAGGGAGTTGGGACGGTCGGACAGCGCGAAAATGAAGCCATGCTTGTTGGCGTCCCTGGGGGGGTCAAGCAGGGAGATAAAGCGAAGCAGGGGTTGAAGGCACGTGCCAATGTGCCATGAAGAGAGAGTGCAGTGAGCGCGTTGGGCCAGTCCGACAGCGTGCGAACGAAGCTGTGCTTGTTGCTGCCACTTTTGTTGCTTCGCTGTTGAAAAATTGTGAGACGTTTTGACTATGTCGTCTTTCTTTCAAGCGTTTCTTTGGGTCCCTGTATGGAGAAGCAAGATACTGATATGTCGATTCCTGCACTGAATGTGCACCCACCTGAACCACCACCTGGAAACCCACCTGAGAACCCACCTGAAGGGCCACATGGGGCTGGCCACCTGAGAGCGCCCACCTGAAGAGCCTCAGGATGAAGGCCTCTGCTCCTGTGTCGGTGACCCTGTGTGCGTTCACCACCACTATACCCTTGAGCTGCGAGCAGAGAAAGATGGGCGGATATACAACAACAACGACAACTTATTTTTTAGGTTAAAAAAAAAGGACGAGTAACTAGTGGTTCAACAGCAACCTCCTGTATCGGTGACCCTGTGTGCATTCACCACCACTATGCCCTTGAGCTGCGCACGAGGCGGGTAGGAGAGACACAAACACACACATATTCCCATACAATTATACACATATACATACACCCCTGCACTGCACCTTGGGCACTCGATCAAAGAGCATGCCAACAGTGAGGATGCACGAAGTCCCGGCAAAGCACCCTCCCTCGCGGCCTCATGCTCCGTCGATCTACATTCATTCACAGTACCTTATTAAAGGGCACTCGATCGGAGAGCATGTCGACAATGAGGATGCGGGAGGTCACGGCGAAGCACCCTCCCTCGCGATACGCCGCCACCCTGTCAGCACTCGCCATGCTGCTGTTCACCTCCGCCAGCACACACGGGAGTGCTGTGCGGTGCAGCGCGGTCGACAGCGGTGCTTCTGCCTCCGGTCCATTGGATGTCACTGCAGGTGACACCTTTGCAGCCTCGTCTCCCTCTGCTGACGGTGCTGCTGCAGCAGCAGTTGCTACCCTTGCTGATGCTACAGCCACCACTGCTGCTGCTGCTGCTGCTGCTGCTGCTGCTGCGGCTGCTGGTGCTGCTGCTGACCCTGATCCTGCTGCTGCCCGATTGTCCCGCGGAGCAGCAGGCGGGCTGGAGCGGGAAGGAACATTTTGAGAACTCTCAAAAGGAGCAGCTGGAATGGCCGGAGCTCTGTTCAGCAGCTCAAGCTCCTCCTGCACTGCCTGCCTCTGCTCCTCCGCCAATCCAATCACAAACATCAACCGCCCGTTATAACCACCCAAGCTGCTACTACCGCTACTGCTGCCGCCGCCGCCGCTGCTGCTGCTGCTGCTGCCGATGATCCCAAGGCTGCGGGAGCAGGAGGCGTTGGTGATGTGGTGGTAGCGAAGGAGCAGCGCGAGCACCTTGTGCAGCCCCAGCCCCGCCCCCAGGACCGCCAGCCCGCCCTCCTCGTGCAGCTGCGCCACCACGCCCTCGTGAAATGAGAGCATGATGGCAGATTGAGAGTAATGAAACCAATCCCAAGTATTAAGAGTCGATCTAAGCAGGCTTTTCAGCACAGCCCGCCGTCCTCGTGCAGATGTGCCAGCACCTGCTGGAGCAATAGCATGGCGGCAGACCGAGAAATGAGTGCCTCAATTGGAAGGGTCCTTATTTAAACCAACGAGCCTAACTTGGACGGATACGGTGAATTCTGGAATTTCAGATGGATAGGTGAAATTTGAGCCTGGCCCTTGGCACGACGAATCCTGCGTAAGGTGACCGTGATTGACCCTAGGACCCTCTGAAGATCGACCTTAGAACTCTCTGAACAAGGTCGTACAGCGAGACATGGACAAAACGTGCGCTTTAACGAGGACAACTGCAGTCTCTGACACGAAAAGGCTCTATTCTCCTAAGTGTTAGATCACGCGAGGCAAGTTGAATGCGTGTACGGCTAAGTTGGTAAGCGAGCAGCGAGCAAGCCCTTTGAATCTCAAGTCAACCTGACAGACAACCGTCACGATCACGCTGTGAAGCAAGGTTCAAAAGAAACACCCACAAAATACGCGCTAAAGCGTTTGGAATTTGCATTTGCTTACTTCTATGCCTGTGGACGGAGACAGAAAAACGTATGCGTATACTTAACATTCTCTATTGAAATATTGTGTATACAACGAGTGCATGATCGCCTAGAATAATCTTATAGGAATGTATTAAAAAAAACAAAGAAATCTCTTAATATCCAATATTGGGAGCTTACGTGATCAATTCAACAAGATGTTCAATTATTCTACTAGGTATCCACAACCAAGCTACAAATAGATGCTAGCAGATGCATTTCCTCGTCTTGCCGAAATTCACGCGATAGAACCGCATCGCATTTAGCGTCTCTATCCAAGCCGCCCGATCGCCTCTTCCTCTTGCGCGTCGAGGATGACATTTTGCGCTTCCTCTCCCGCCCATGGTCCTCCGCACCTCCTGACACTCCACGAAACCCTCCCCTCGTTTCCCCCAACGCATGCGGAGCTCCGGCCGCGAACCCGTCCCCTCGCCTCCCTCCCCCCTCCCCCCTCCCCCCTCCCTCCCCTCCCCCCCCCCCCTCCCAGCAGCGCGATGAGCGCTGAATCTACCGCCGCTGCGCGGTCTCCGGAGCAAGCTGGCGCAGCTGGTTCCGCGCGCCAAAGCGGAGCGGGAGCACTTGCGCGGTGGCGCGTGCGGCCTGGCGAGGAGCCATGGACACGTTTTCGGTTCCGCACGGGCCAGGGGCGAAGCGGGGGAAGGAAGCGGCAGGTCGGCGGTGACTGTAGAAAATGACACAGTAACGGAATGCACGGGGAAGAAGATACGCGCTGAGACTGAGTCGCGGGCGGTGGGGACAACCGAGCGGGGGGAAACGCGGAAAGGGACAGGGGAAGCGGCGAGTGTGGCGGAGACAGGGGCGCGGGAAACGAAAGGAAAAGTCGCGCGCGGGCGGGGGCATGGGGGTGAGGGGAAAGCAGGAATTTAGAAGGGACAGGATGAGGGGGGAGCAGAGGGGGAGCGGAGAGGGGTGGGGGAGATGGGGGCGGTATAGAAAGGGGCGGAGAAGCGGAAGAAGAGGAGAGTGAATCAGAGGAGGGGGTGGAAAGTGGAAAGGAGGGGGTGGGGAGTGAGGGGGAGAAGACTGGGTACAAGAAGAGGGTGTGCAAGGGGAGAGGGTTGAAGGCGCACCAAGTGGGTGGCGGCTGCGGCAGCTGATGCGCGGATAGCAGCGAGACAGCAGGGGACAGCGTCCAGAAAGAGGACAAAACGTGCAAGTGGCAGGGGAGGTGAATGATACTAAAGCAGGCAGGCAACAGAATGAATTGGGAAGGAACAACGAGAGGAGAGAACAGTGCAGGCAAATAGAATTCAGCTTAACGGGTTGACTTTTGAGGCGCCTCAAAAGTCGTCTCATGTCTCGCGGTTTTTATGTGGGGAGAATTATAATTGCATGGAAGTGTGCACGTAACCTTCAGCGGTTACTCGTAAGGGCGCGGTTACCAAAGTCACTCGCCAATGCTGTCGAAGAAGTTCCCGAAGGCTGACTTGGCACCCTGAATTTGTTTCATTGCCTAGTTGGCGAACCCCTTTCCTAGTTGGATTCTGGGTAGTTGGGTTTCTTTTACGTAGATCTCGAGGGTAGTCTAGCTACTTTAGCTGCTACCAGACTCTCTGTTTCTGAGTTCCGAATTGTGCTGTACTGATGAAGGCGTGATTGGGTTCGCCCATCCGCCGAAACTAGTTTACGCAAGGAGGCTTTTCGGAAGCTAAGGGTTTTTCAGATCTGCGTTTTTTTCACAAGTTTTTACTGTTTGTTCCTTTGCTTAAGCGTCCTCTCTACTACTGCAGCCCTTCGAAACATGAGTCAGGGTGACCCTTAGAATTCAGCTTAACGGGTTGTTGGGGGTGTCACAGCAGGGGGCGTAACAGCAGGAGGCGTACGACAGGGTGCGTAACGGTAACAGATGTAACTGTGATGGAAAGGGAGGGAACAGCAAGAGGGCCATCAGATGTGACGGTGGTGTTTCCCAGGCTGCGCTCCTACCACCGCCTGCTCGTGCACTCAGCTGCTAAGTGCTTCCGCCTCGCCTCCTCCTCCTTCTACCCTCTCTGAAGTAACACTGGTTACAAGCGCGTGTGCTGTAGCCTCGCTAAAGAGCAACTCGTTAGTGGACCTTTGGCGGTAGACCAGCTGGGTCCTGTACTCGTTATTACTCTGCTTGTTTGCAACGGGAAGGTGATCTGTGGTGTAGATTCGTGCCTCCGTTGCTGCTGTGTGATTTTATCCCGAGCGGCAGCAGCCGAGAACAGACCCTTGAGCGGGCGGCACGGGCCTGCTCAGTACCTAAACGTTTTTCGCTGTCCGTTACTGGGAAGAATGAGGTGCAGGGTGGGAGAGAGTGGGTGGGAAGAGGAGGAGGGAAGGGTGGGAGTAAAAGGGGAGCAACGGGGAGGAGAGAAATGTGATGAGCGTGCGACGAAGGGGGAAGATCTGCCCCTTGTTCCTAAGAAGAAGGGACGGGGAAGGTTCTAATACCATGAGGAGGAGGGAAGCGGGAGGGGCAGAATAAGGAAGTAGTGCGATAGAAAAGGGAGAGAAGGCGGTTGAGAAGGTGACTGAAATGGTGATCGGCAGCGTCAAGGGCGGGATGGGTACTGGTGGAGAGAGAAGCACGCTGCTTCTGTTCCTCTGAGTGCCACGGTTGCTAGCTCTGATGCTGCTGCTCCAGCAGCTACTGTGATCTGGAGGGACTGCAGGAGTGCTGGTGCCGATGCTTCTGCGGCCACAGCTGCCGGTGCCCCTGCTGGCTCACAGATGTCACACCACCTCAACAGCCCTGAACCGCCGCCTTATGAGTTGTCGCCTGTTGCGCTGGTATGCAAGGCAGTGGAGGTAGTAAAGGCAGAGGGGACAGCGGAGGAAGCAGAGAGACAGGAGGGACAGGAGGAAGAGGAGGGGGAGGAGACAGCAGGAACATTTCTTGTGGTGTTTGCATTGGCGGAAATGGCAGGAGCGGCTGATTGGCGGATCAGAGAGGCTAGGCAACGGGCGAGAAAGAGTGAGGAGAGGAGAAGCTCGTTTGCCCTCAGGTCCCGATGGCAATAGTACAGTAGCAGCAGTAAGGGCTATGAAAGTGTGGGTGAACGTTTGGAGGGGTGTGCATATGGATGTTTGGAGAAAGAGTTGGATGAAGGTTTGGATGAGAGATTGGTGCGAGCTGTGGCGCGCTGCCTGTCGGCGACCCGCTTTGAAGACGCATCAGCCGATGTGCTGGCGAGCTGCTATTGGTCGGTTCCGGAGAGGAGGAAGACCCGCGTGGATGGCGCTGCTGCCACCCGCCTTTTGTCCAGGTCACTTGAGTAATCTCAACTGCAACCATACCGTAAGCGTTTATCACATGGGCCGATTTACACCACACCATGCTTCAATGTTCCTCCCCATGTGCATGATCCTTCTTTACCATGTACAGAATTGTCAGCTCAATTGGGGTTGCATGTGAGTCAAGAATACGGTACTGCTAGAGCGACTAAAGAATGAGTGTCAGCTGCTGAAGGGTCCCTTCTCTGCCATTACTCTGTCTCTGAAGCTGGCCATGCATGCTTCAACTGCCTCTGTTTTTGTGGGATGGCTATGTTGGGGTACAAGAATGTAATTGAACCAGTATTCACACTGCCCGATTTGACCAAGGTGGTATCAAGCATAGAGGGTTATGCACGGTACTATTACACAGATTTGACAAAGATTTATCATATATTTTACAATAGCATGCTAATTGATGGCAGTCCAGTTACTCTGGTTCCAGCCACAGCTGCTAATAGACTAGGATGTGTACGGTAATCTACATTTGTCTCAGCACGCTGCTCATCCTGCGGAGAGCGACCCGGCTGCTCGACCCTGTTATTCTTCGCCTTCCACCGAATCTCCCGATGCCAACCGAAATCCCCGAGGCTGCCAGTGACCTCCTCTCCTCCTCATCCTCCTCATCCATGTACAGTTGATTCATGTAGCACACATTCCCTGTCCCGTAGACCGTGTATCCACCTCCTTTGATGTCATCTTCATCCTCGTCATCATACCCAAAGAGCTGGTTCGAGAAAGTAGCCATTTCCTCAGTCTTCCCAAGCCCTGTCGCCTCCACATTCCATCCCTTCCCAGTGCTGCTGATGCCTTGGCCAATCCCCCTCTTCCCACTGGCTGCTTCTGTGAACAATTCCGTCTGTGTACTGCAGAGGCTATTAGAAGTGAAGGAGCAGGTATCCCAGGTGAGGTCGATGAGACACGAACTCTCACTCCGATTCAAGCTGCACCGCCTGCTGCTCGCCTCTGCACCCACCATCGCACCTTTCAGTGACTTTGTACCCATCATCGCATCCTGGTATGGCTCTGCAACCAGGAACGAAGAAGCCACCTCCTCTGGTTCCAGAACAGCCAACCACCACGCCTTTTCAATTGAGTAGATCGATCTCTCAGTCGAACTGGACACTGCTTCAGCCGAGCAGCGAGGTGTAGCAGCCGAGAAAGGAGGAACGCGCTCAGTTGACAGGGCAGAGCTTCCAGCTGAGCACGCAGCAGTTTCGATCAGGTCAGCAAGAACCTCTGCAGAGACAGTAGGGACCTCCACAGAGTCAGCAGGGACCTCCACACAGTCAGCAGGGACCTCCACAGAGACAGCAGAGACCTCCACTGGGACAGCAGGAACCTCCACAGGGACAGCAGGAACCTCCACAGGGACAGCAGGGACCTCCACAGGGACAGCAGGGACCTCCACAGGGACAGGGACCTCATCCTTGACAGCAGGATGCTCATCCACGACAAGAACAGCCTTTGCTGCAACTTGATTGCTTGAGCTCGTCCACTTGAAGTCAGCCTGCAAAAATTCAAGTGAGCGACTTTAGTTTCTGCTCAAGATATTAAGATAATCTGTGACAAGGAGACGTCGGCGTAATGATACACACAGAAACGGAAAGGAGAAGGTAGACATTGTTCTTACCAGGCGTGGAAGGGAGACCAGGCTGCAGACGAAGCGAGTCAGGGAGTCATCCTGCTCCCAGAAACTCGAGAAGAGAGCGTCAACGTCCACGCAGGCACTCGCAGCACCACCGCAGGCCATTTCGTTGACGAATGAAGTAGCAGACACGAACTGACTTTAGTGTTGTGTTCTAAGAATTGCCAGGGAGAAATCGAGCCGGTTCAGAGAGCAGGTAACACGGCCTTAAGAGCTGAAGACGGTAGGAGTATGAAGGTTGATGGCGATAATTCGCAGCAACCGGATCAGTGCAGACTGGTGAATGGAAATACAAACCCCCTGCTCGTTTATACTTGTTTCGCTGGTGCCTCCAATGGCTGCTAGGAATCTGAAGAAAGGAAAGAATGTGGGGTGATCCTGAAGCTGGGACGGAGATGCGACAAAAGTCACGGAGGGGGTTGGAGGCTCGGAGTCGCTGAGGGTGTGAGGCTCGGAATTGCCGAGGGTGGGAGTCTCGGAATCGCCGGGTTGTGACGCAACAATGGCCATTGCTGAGCAAATCCGCATCGCCTGTGGGGTCCGTGGCGATCGGTGCGCATGGCGAATGACCTAAACGTCGCATGGCTGTTCGGTTCAGTCCCGAGTACCGACAAATAGAAGCGAGCTCTCGAGTGTATGAGCTTGCAAGCGTGGTTCTCTGAGGCGTGGATGTGCTCCCAAGGTCCGCCGCAATCGGGAATACCGAGTGCGGCTCGGGAAATTCTGAAGGCGGGAAAGAGATAGGTATGGGGAGGGGGCGAGACTTCCGGCAACCGGTTCGATGAACCGAACGTCTAGCCGAGGCTACACACTCGGCGGATTTCGAGATGCTGGACATGTGGGACTGAGGTATGGCTGAAATGGCTGAAAGTCTGTCTCGTCTTGGGGAATGACGTAAGTGGGAAACTGAAAAACCGATTGTTGCAATCGTTTATGGCGAATGTCGTGCACGCCTAGTTTCAAATTCAAATGAAGCTGTACAGTAAAGATATATCTAACCATACACGAAGCTGCAAATTATACGAAGGAAAAAGATACGGTATTTCTGGCTCTTTCTGACTGAAAGCACTATGATACTCTCCTCCTGCTACGCCTGTATTTTTTACACCTGCTCTCAGGGATTTACCCTGATTCAAGCCTTTACGGAACTTAAGCACAGGCTGATCCGGGTGTGTAGAAATTCGCTGTCGGGGGTGTGTACATGCGACTTTTTAAGGAACGACTTTAGTGTGTATGTTAAGAAACAAGAGTTCCAGCAAATGCACACACTTTCAGCACAGCACGCAGCACACACAGACGCCTTCTGAGCAGGCCCTACGATATCAGGAATTTTTCCCTGAAATTCCTGATTTTCAGGGATTTTTTTGTACCTACACTGATTTTTCAGTGTTGAGAATTTTGTGACACTGATTTTTCAGTCTTTATTTCATAGTTGACACTGATTTTTCAGTCTTTTATCGAAGTGTACACTGAATGCACATTCCGAATCCTTCCTGTCAACCAACATTTTCAGGTTTTTAACGTACTAAAACGTAAGAGATTGACGGCTTAGAGGATTAACTGTCTCAGTGGTTAGTGATTTCTACCGACGGGAAGGGCCCGGTTCGAATCCCTCAGCTGACATGTTTCGTATGTTGGAAACAATTGGTCCTAAGCGCCTCTGTCGTGTCGAAACACTAAGACACAAAAGAAACGAAGTATAACGAATCACCGGCGAGTCAACCCTCGGAGGTTGAAAGTAACTGTTGGAGGTTACGCGAAAGTCAAAGGTCAGCGACCTTTGACCTGACAAAGTACAGCGCGACAGCAAGGACAAACAACTGACTCGGTATTGAGCAGTTGCCCGAGTCGTCACTGTATCGAACCGCAACAGCAATAGTAAAACGGTCATTAACTGTATCTCTTCGTATTCCTTGTACTATTATAAGAGCTTGTATCTCTTTGTTTTAATCAACTTACTTTGCCCTCACATACTAGCGCAAGGTGGTTCACAACTCTTTAATTAACGCTTCCGCTACTACATCAACTCTACCCAGAGTTCACCCCCTGCAAAGCTATCAGGGGGAATTCAACTTCTATACCGACAACATCAACAAGCATGGCTACACAAAAGGAAAGGAGCAACTCCAACGGCTCCCAGGGCACTACTCCTACTCCACCTCCTGCCTCTGGCCTACAGACAGAGGAGGGCACAGCAACAAGACCCAGAGCAACATCTACCGAGACTCCCGCGAATCAACCTGCAGACTTCGACCAGAGCATGATGGAGAAGTTTTTCTCCTTCATGTCCTTCTACGAGCAACACCAGCAATCGGCACCTGCGCAGTCACACAACAGCAACAACAACGGAGCAACACCCATGAGTCTCGACGGCTCATCATATGCACGAGGAAATCAACAACAGCAGCCTACCTTTGCTCCGTACGAGCGCGGGTCCATCAGCTTTATGCCACACCCACAGCCTTCACCTGGACAAGAAAAATCACTGGACGCATTACAAGTTCAGTCGCAGTTCGCACACGTTCTGAAGATGCAGACGTCAAGACCCTTCGATGGAAAGGACTTCTTCACCTGGTCGTTCGAGTTCGAGCTGATGATGGAAGGCGCGCAGATACTCGGGTTCTTCGACGGGTCTCTGCCATACCCAACAAACGGCACACAGTACGAGAAGCAGCAGTACACCTATCAGTCAATGATGGCGTACACGATCCTACTGAGGAATATCACCCCGACTCAACAGCAGAACATAAGGTCTTACCGAGGTTACGGCAACTCCGCGGAGCTCGAGTACAACCACCTGAAGAGCTTGTATCAAGCAACAGACAGCGTAAGCCAAAGTCGGTTAATGGCGCAACTGACAACGGTTGAAATGAAACCAGGGGAGAAAGGAATGGCGTATATCAGTCAATGTCGCGAGTTGCGCGACAAGCTTCTTCGATGCGGAGGGTCGATCTCTGAAGACGCCTTCGTGACAGTCATCATCGGCGGCCTCGGTCCTCAATGGCGCGCCACAAAGGCCATTCTCCGAGCTCACGGAAGAATCTCCGAAGCAGCGCTCTGCGCCAAAATCCACGCCGAGCAGCAAGACATGGACCTGCAAGAAGAACGACACAAAAAGAAGACATCAGCACCGGAATTCGCGTTCCACACTCAGCGACGCTACAACAACAACAACAACCGGCAGCAACAACCGAAGCCAGTACCTCCGTTCTGCCACATCTGCAAAACTTCAGGACACCCGCGTACACACTGCCCAAATCGTCAACAGTCAACAACTCCACAGCGGCAACTTCGACCTTCAAGCAGCCAAATCGCCTCAACGCAAGCAAATCCCACGACCCAGATTCAAGCCTCAACGACTTCAATGGGACAACCTGCACAAGGAGCAAGAAACATCGTCAGCTGCATGGCAAAGCTGAGTGACTCCTGCATCACCGAGTCACCACCACACTACTCACCGGAAGAACAACTCGACGAAACCACACCCCGCCGCGAGTCACTTCAGCCGAACCCGACATACGCCGCCATCGCCCAAAGCGAACCATCCGGAAAAGACACATGGTTCTTGGACAGTTGCTGCGGACAGCACATGTGCTCCTCGGGACGCTTCGTTCAACGAGAACACCAACTTCAACGCGAAGTTGTCATTACAGTCGCCAACAATCAGAACCTGCGAACACGACGACAAGGCGTAGTTCAACTTCAGTCAAGGGAAACAAACGTTATACTGCAGATGTCAAAAGTACTAATCGGGGAGGGACTCGGCTACAACTTACTGAGCGCCAGTCAGCTAATGGCGAAAGGGATTCACCTCGAAGCAGACAGCACCACCCAAGAATTCAAGCTGTATCATGGGAGAGGAGGAATTTACATCGGCAAGGCGGTCCTCAAGAACAACGTCTTCGTTCTTGATTTCGTTCCTGATCTTGGCACCGCCGACAGCGACGCCATCGTCAACTTCACCAACTGGACACACCCTCCAGACCTTGATCCAGACTTCAGTCCAGAAGGCTTCTGGTACTCACACACCATCCCTGAAGCAGAAAGAACAAGGGCGTTAGCAACAATTCAGACAACATCAGCAGCAGCAGAGACAACATCGGCAGCAGCAGAGACAACATCGGCAGCAGCAGAGACAATATCGGCAGCAGCAGAGACAACATCGGCAGTAGCAGAACCATCAACGGCAGCAGCAGGAACGTCAACACCAATTGCTGGTCCTTCAACGACACCGCTCCTCATCGACGACACACCACCGACACCCGCGCAACAACTACACCCAGCACCACAAGAAGTTCATCGTAGCGCCAACTTCACCGCCAACTTCTACTCCAACTCCGATATGTACCGACGATCACCCGGACATCGCGCTGACGAAAGCACCTGGCACGCAAGGATGGGACACCCAAGCAACACAGTATTAAACAATACGATAAGAGCAGGAGTACTCGACAAGGACTCACTCCTACTGACCGACGGACGAGAACTTCAACGAGTACGCGGAACGTGCTTCACCTGCCCTGAATGTGACTTACCACATCGACCGTTTGCGTCTCATCACAACCCGAGCGCACCCGCGTACGCACCACTCGAGAAGGTGTATAGCGGCATCCTGTACAATCGGGAACCAGGACAAGTAATATACAACTATACAATCACCTTCATCGACGCCGCCACCCGTTACGTCTGGCACCTAAACCTCCCTAGCCGCTACATGGCATTCGCAGCCTTCGTTGCCTGGCTACCACTAGCAGAGAGAGAATCGGGCGTGAAACTGAAAAGCTTCCAGTCAGACGGAGGAGGAGAATACACCTCTCAGCGATTCAAGCAGTACCTGGCGGAAAGGGGAATCAAGCGGCTCATCTCCCTTCCCTACGCCCATCAGCAGCAAGGTGTAGCAGAAAGAATGAACAGGACCTTGCAGAACAGCATGCGCAAACTGTTACGTGGCATGCGGCTACCCAACCACCAGTGGCCTGCGGCAATGGACCACGCCGTCATGCTGCACAACTTGCTCTCGTCATCATCGCTTCCAAACAACGCATCACCGCATCTGCTATGGACAGGGAAACAAGGCAGCACAAAAATGTTACGAGTATTCGGATGCATGGTACAGTACCGACCCCCAGCAGCACGAGCGGGCCGATTTTCTCAACGAGCACAGTGGGGACTACACCTGGGAATCGAAAAGAACTACAACGCGTGGAAAATCTTCGACGTCCATTCCAAGGAAACAGTAGCAGCACGTGATGTAATTTTCTACGAACGACTCACGCTCCAGACATACCTTGCCAACCTGTAAGAAGACCAGGATCCCACAGGTGGTTTTCGCGGTGACCGAGCCTTCGCCTCAGCAACGGACGAAGCTGACTGGGACGAGCAGAATGTGGACAACGCATCAGAAGAAGCCGGACCTCTTCCGTTCTGCTCCGTGGACGTTCCCATGGACGAAGATAACCCTTGCGAAAGTGTCAACGCCGAAACCTTCTACTATTTCGCCGACAACGGTTACGTAACACCTGCGACAGTCAACACCAACGAAGCAGAACGAGTAGGACCCAACTTCATACCTGATCCAGAAGCGGGAGATGAAGCAGCTTATCCCGAGGACGCAAATCTTCCCCGCTACTCACAGAGTGGACTGCAAATTCTCGGACTCGTCACCGCAGTCCACGGCACCGCCATTCCTAAAGAGCCTGCGACGGTTCAACAGGCTCTGGGGGGGGAGCATAAGGAAAAATGGCGCGAAGCCATGGACAAGGAGCTGAAGGCACTGGAGGAACGCAACACGTGGAAAGTGGTTCCTATCGGCGTGGCACGGAACAAGACAGTGCTCACCGGGAAGTGGGTCTTCCGTGTGAAGACAAAGGCTGACGGCACCATTGACAAATTTAAAGCTCGCTGGGTTGTACGCGGCTTCGACCAAGAACACGGACGCGACTTCACCGAAACCTTCGCTCCGGTTAGCCGCCACACCTCACTACCCATTCTCCTCGCAATCGCCGCCATGAAGAAGAAGAAGCTGCGACAAATTGACGTCGCGAACGCGTTTCTCTACGCACCTGTTGATGCAGAAATTTTCGTCGAGCTACCGCACGGCTCCCACAGAGAACCCAACCAAGTCTGCCAGCTACTCAAGTCACTCTACGGCATCAAGCAGGCTCCGCGACTGTGGCAACAGTACCTGCACGCTCGCCTCATCCGCATCGGCTTCAAGCAACTACCGCACGATCAAGGCATGTACCGGCTCACAAAAAACGACGACTACATCCTACTAATCGTCTACGTGGACGATCTCCTTTACATCGGCTCGAATGACGGCATCACTACCTGGTTCGAAGGGGAGCTGCAGCGAGATCTCACGCTCACAGTTTCATCTACCGTCACTCAGTACCTCGGCCTCAACATCCGGGAAGAGGAGGACGCGATTTACCTCAGCGCCGAGAAATATGCCGACACCATCGCCAAACGCTTTACGCTCACACCGACAGCCATCTCCATGCCATACCGCTACACGGCAGGGAACGACAAAGGAAGCTCCGCTCTACTCAAGCCCGCCGGCATACGAGACTACAAGAAGAAGCTGGGATGTCTTCTCTTCGCAGCCGTCACCTGTCGCCCCGACCTCTCATACTCCGCAAGCCAGCTCGCCACCTACCTCAAGAAGCCTGAAGCAGAACATCTGGCGGAGCTCGACCGCGCTCTTCACTACTTCGTCAGCACCCCAACGATCGGCCTAACTTACTACAAGAACGCAACCACACCGACTAAGTTAATCGGCTACGTCGACGCTGATCACGCTGGCGACTCCGACAATAGGCGCTCCCGCACCGGCTACATCTACCGCCTCGAACCTATCGGACCTATCTCTTGGCAGTCGAGCAAGCAGGAATTAATTGCTCTCTCGTCAGCTGAAGCAGAATATATTGCACTCTGCTCAGCCACCAAGGAAGGACTCTATCTTCACGAGCTGCTGGAAGAAGCGAAGTTAGCCGAGTTACCCAACTTTACCCTGTTCTGCGACAACCAGTCAGCAATTCGCATCGCCAACAAGAACGGCTTCGCGAACAGGACGAAACACATCGCCCTGCGATATTTCTTTGTGAAGGACGAGATCGAGAAGGGAAGGCTCGAGCTGTCATACTGTCCCACGTCTGAGATGGCAGCTGACTACCTGACCAAGAAGCTCGTAAAGCAGAAGTTCGAATACTGCATGTTGCTGACTGGACAGAGCCACGTCAGCAACACTCCAGAAGCGAAGGGGAGTGTTGGAAACAATCGGTCCTAAGCGCCTTTGTCGTGTCGAAACACTAAGACACAAAAGAAACGAAGTATAACGAATCACCGGCGAGTCAACCCTCGGAGGTTGAAAGTAACTGTTGGAGGTTACGCGAAAGTCAAAGGTCAGCGACCTTTGACCTGACAAAGTACAGCGCGACAGCAAGGACAAACAACTGACTCGGTATTGAGCAGTTGCCCGAGTCGTCACTGTATCGAACCGCAACAGCAATAGTAAAACGGTCATTAACTGTATCTCTTCGTATTCCTTGTACTCTTATAAGAGCTTGTATCTCTTTGTTTTAATCAACTTACTTTGCCCTCACATACTAGCGCAAGGTGGTTCACAACTCTTTAATTAACGCTTCCGCTACTACACCAACTCTACCCAGAGTTCACCCCTGCAAAGATCCTAAGGGTTTTTCAGCCCAACATCGTAAAGCCTACCCTTGTATACAAGGTTTTCATTTACTTGAAAATTCAGGCTTTGTTTTTTAGGAACCCTGAAAATTCAGGGTTTTTTTTTTAGGAACACTGAAAATCAGGGTTTTGTTCACAGGGACCCTGATGCATCAACGTCCCTTAAAGTGAATCTGAGGGCCTGCTTCTGAGTAAACATCTCAAGTCTTTTCCCATCATTAAGCACAGCACTCAGCAGAAACACAATGCAGTAGCTGCTGCATGCAACAACGTTAGCAGAGGCTAGGGTGTTAGCAAAGAGAACAACGTCCATCCGCGCCATGAATAGCCACTTGTTTAGTAAAGTCGTTGTTCGCAATGTATAGCTGCTCCACCAACTCGCGTGCGCCCGACATCACATCACTCTCATTGTACACCTGTCACTAAAACACCCACACACTCACCCCGTAGCCAGTGTCTGTTAGTTGACTGTGACTCACACCCAACATGCTGGTACACCATATCTGTTACACCACATACCAGATCTCATACACCATATTTGATACACCACACACATGAGCTAGGCAAAACAAACTCTGACTGACACAATCCTAGTACCCCCCTTGCATGTGCTCGCCTGCTCCCGACCCAGCCACCCCACCCTCCCCAATCGCCTCTCCTGCCATGCCCCCTTGCCCCTGCCCCTGCCCATACTGCCCCCCCTGACTCTGCTGCATCTCCCCCAGCGCCCCACCTTGCCCTGGCCCCTCCATCCCTCCAGGGTTCTGCCCCATGGTATCAGCACCCATACTACTGCCAGGGGCAGGAGGAGGAGAGGTGACGGTAGAAGTGGGTGGTGCTGGGGTAAATCCAGGGTTTCCCTGCATGGCAATGGGGTAATTCTGAGAGGAACCCCCCTGCTGTGGCTGTTGCATAGTTGCTGCCGCTGGTCCTGCTGTCCCTCCCATTGGCATTGCCTGCAGCTGCTGCTGCTGATACTGCTGCTGCTGCTGCTGCTGCTGCTGCGGTTGTTGGTACTGCTGGTGCTGGTACTGTTGGTGCTGGTAGTGCTGGTGCTGCTGCGGCTGTTGCTGCTGTGGCAGCTGCTGCTGTTGCTGCTGGGGCTGCATCATAGGCTGCATACCAATGTAAGCTGCACCCTGCTGTTGCTGATACTGCTGCTGCTGCTGCTGCTGCTGCTGCTGCTGATATGGTTGGTGCTGCTGCTGGTACTGCTGCTGCTGGTCCGGCTGCTGTTGATACTGTTGCTGTTGCTGCTGCAGAGGCTGCTGATAGTACTGCTGCTGCTGCATCTGCGGCTGCCCCATACCCGGCACTTGCCCCTGCATGGGCACCACCCCTGCACCTGCAATTCCTGCTTGGTAACCAAGACTACCCCCACCCATCACCCCCCCTCCTGCCATTTGCATCTGAGGCGCATTCCCCACCATCCCTTGCTGTGCCACCTGCTGCTGCTGCTGCTGTGGCTGCTGTTGCAGCTGCTGCTGCTGTGGAAGGTGCACAGCTGCGGATCCCTGAGTCTGAAGTTGAGGTGCCATTTGGCCTGGGGCAAGCGCAGATGCACCCATAGCTTGCGCTGGAACCTGCGTTGCTGGTTGGTACTGGCCCTGCTGCTGCTGGCCCTGCTGCTGCTGCTGCTGCTGCTGCTGAGGCGGAGAGTAGATCACACGGTCTGCCCTGCCAGGCTGACCCCCCGGCCCTCCTGCTCCGGCCACGCCACTCCCCACACCATTAGCACCTGCAGTGCCACCCATGGGTGGCCCATTACTTGTGGAGGGAGGTGTCCCGTTAGTGGGCGCTCCTACAGCTGTCTTTGGTCCACCGTTTGTGGGGGCAACTATCCCGGGTTCTGAGGGAGAGAGTGGGCCTCCTGGTCCGCTCTGTGCCTGCCCGCTCCCTGCTCCTTGCTGCCCCTGCTGCTGCCTCTGCTGCTGCCCCTGCTGCCCCTGTTGCTGTGCCTGTGCAGCAGCCTGTGTGGGTGTCATTGCACCCTCTCCCGGTGATGCCTGCTGCTGCTGCTGCTGCTGCTGTGGCGGCTGCTGAGAGTGCTGCGCTGGTTGGAGTTGCTGCTGCTGTTGCTGTTGTGAAACGGGCTGTGGCTGTGTGGGCGGTGAAGGGGTGGCTGTAGAGGCAAGGGGAGGCGCAGCAGTGGCGGGAGCAGCTGGGGAGGGCGGGAAGACATCGGAGAGGGGAGGCGTGCAGAGGCCCATGGCTCGCAGCACGTAGCTGTCGTCGTGCAGCTCAAAGGGCGTGCTGAACGGGAAGAGAAGGGGGCAGAGGAGAGGGCGTGATAGGAACAAGAAAGAGAGAGTATAAGAGTTGGCCCTAGAATGAGGAGAGGCGTGCAGAGGCCCATGGCTCGCAGTACATAGCTGTCGTCGTGCAGCTCGAAGGGCGTGCTGAGAGAGGAGAGGACAGGGAAGGGAGGAGAGAAAAGAAACTTAGGGCTTCAGGTAGCAGAGGCCCATGGCTCGCAGCATGTAATTGTCGCCGTGCAGCTCAAAGGGCGTGCTGTTAGGGACGGGAGGAGAGATTGGAATGAAAAGGGAGATGTTGGGATGGGATGGGAGATTGGGGTTTTGGGCTACGGCACTTCCGTTGATGAGGGGGAGGAGTGCAGAGGCCCATCGCACGCAGCATGTAGCTGTCTGTCACCTTGAAGCTCAAAGGGAGTGCTGGGAGGAAAGAGGAAGAAACTCAGATGGGAGAGGGAGATGGGGGGTTTCAAGCTTACATTGCGGTTTGAGTGAACGTGGTTAAGATTGCGAGGTGCTTTAACGTGAGAAAGGCTGTGAGCAAGCTTACGTGCTGAAGTCAAAGTGCACGAGCTGCATGTCCTCCGATACCAGGCACAGCCAGTGCCCTTTTATTAGGCTACCAGTCCAATCCATGACAGACATGCAGGGCTGACACGTACGTGCTGAAGTCAAAGTGCACGAGCTGCATGTCCTCTGATATCTCCACCTCCACCGTTGCTTGTGGACGGGTCTGCACACCACAGAGGAGCACGGAGGGGGAGAGGAGGGAAGAGGAGGTGAGACAGGAGCTGCATGTCTCCTCCGATATCTCCACCTCCACCGTTGCCTGTGGGCGGGTCTGCACACCACAGAGGAGCACGGAGGGGGAGAGGAGGAAAGAGGAGGTGAGACAGGAGCTGCATGTCTCCTCCGATATCTCCACCTCCACCGTTGCCTGTGGGCGGGTCTGCTCCGTGCCATAGACAGAAAAAAGGGGGAGTGAGAGGGAAGAGGGAGGAAGTGAGGGGGAAGAGAGAGGAAGAGAGAGGGAAGAGGGAGGGAGAGGGGGAAGAGAGAGGGGTTGAGAGGGAAGAGAAAGGAAGAGAGAGGAATAGAGAGGATAACGGTACCATTCTGATTCCGATTTGCATGTACCTATGGCCGATAAAATACAAAGGACCGTTTGAGAGAGGGTAAGGGGCGAGTTCTTCAGCAACAGGTTTGTGGGAGGTGCACCAACCTTTGAGAGAGGGAGGTGCACCAACCTTTGAGAGAGGGAGGTGCACCAACCTTTGAGAGAGGGAGGTGCACCAACCTTTGAGAGAGGGAGGTGCACCAACCTTTGAGAGAGGGAGGTGCACCAACCTTTGCAAACTTGGCACGACCTGACTGTTGTACTTTCCAGACTCATAGAAATGCTGAAGCCCTTTCACTCGCCTTGCTCGTCCACGTACGTACGGCTAGCACACAAAAGGGTTTCCTAAGATGTTTCAAAAGTCATGGCCGCTCGCTAGGGTACGTAATGGTACCATTCTGCTTTCGCGTCCCCTTAACTTTTGATGAGTCAACTAAAAAAGTCACCAAGGCATGGTGACTTTTTTAGTCAAGCTTGTTAGCTACGGTACGCAACGGCACGATTTTGCTTCCGCTTCCCCTGCACCAGGTGCCCCTACTTACTGTCTCTTTCTGTGTGAATGCCCATGGCAACCTGATCATGGCAACCTGATCATGGCAACCTGATCATGGCAACCTGATCATGGCAACCTGATCATGGCAACTCTGTGACTACCTAACATACATGATACGGTAACTGGAACAGCTATATTTCATGCTGAAGGCAGCTTCCGCCTCACCTACAATGAGTCAACAGTACCTACCTGCACTAAAATGAATGGACTTTTGAGTCGACTCAAAAGGCAGCTTCGACCGCGCCTACAATGAGTCAACAGTACCTACCTGCACGAGAATGAATGGCAGCGCCACCCCGCCACCCGCAGGTGGGCCCCCCTGCTGGCTGCTGGCCTCGTTGCGGCGCATGAGACGCTCGATGCCGGCCATCTGCGAGGTGGGTGGCACACACATGGGAGGTGGGTGGCACACACATGAGGGATACGTGGGTCCATGCATGCATGGGTGCACGCACGTGTAGGAGAAATCATGCGTAAGTGCATGCATGCACGGGCAAATGCATGTCGACAGGCAAAAGAGCATGCCAAGAGGAACACAGAAGGTGCAGAGGAGAAGTAGAAGCAGCAGCAAGGAAAATGGAGCAAGATGGAGCAAGCGCGAGGGGGGGAGAGAGAAGGAAGCATACCTGCTCCTAGAACGAGAGTGAAGAGGAGGGAGAGAGGGGTGGCATACCTGCTCCTTGATAGAAAGTGGAGAGGAGAGAGGGGTGGCATACCTGCTCCTTCAACTCCTCGAGATGGGCAGCCTTCTTTTCCACGCGACTGCGCACGCGTGATGACTCCGCCTGGAAGCAAGCACACACATACAAAGGCTCGGAGGCATGTCAGACGCTCGTCAGCAGCAGGAGAAACACCAGCAGAAGGAGCAAAAGAAGCAGCCGAAGCAGCAGTTGCAGCACCAGCAGAAACAGCAACGCACACCAGGAGGAGCTGGTGGGAGGTGGAGGAGGGGGTGATGCCCTTCCATTTGATATTTGAGTCGACTGAGCAACACAGACCACACCACACCACACCGCACCCCACCACACCACACCACACGCACCAGGAGCAGCTGGTGCGAGGCGGAGGAGGGGGGGAGGCCCTTCCATTTGATCTCCTTCTTCTCCTTGGAGATGATGTCCATCGCCATCAGCACGAGCAGCAACACACCACAGCACAGCACAGCACACACCACAGCACACACCACACGCACCAGGAGGAGCTGGTGCGAAGCAGAGGAGGGCGGGAGGCCCTTCCACTTGATCTCCTTCTTCTCCTTGGAGATGATGTCCATCGCCATCAGCACGTTCAGCGCGTCGTACACCCGCCGCCTAATGTTCTTCTCGTCGTACTGCTGCCGAGGGGGTTGGGGGGGCAGGGGGAGGTGGGAGAGGTGGGGGGGAAGTGGGGGGGGGCAGAGGAGGAAGGCCCTTCCATCGCCATCAGCACGTTCAACGCGTCGTACACCCGCCGCCGGATGTTCTTTTCGTCGTACTGCTGCCGAGGGGTGGGGGAGGAAAGGAAGTGGGGGCGGAGAGGGGGGAAGAGATGAGAGAAGCAGCAACAGCAGCGTCAGCACATCGTACTTAGAGATGAGCATTTTCCCCGCTCGGGCCGCCCCGACCCGACCCGACCCGACCCGAGGTTTAGCGCGGGTCGGGGCAGTGGTTTCATTTGCCTGCCCCGTGCGGGCCGACCCGACCCGACCCGACCCGACCCGACCCGACCCGAGCATGGAACTCGGGCCGGGTGGGGTCGGGTTTCGGGTCAAGCTTGACCCGACCCGACTTCGGGTCAAGACCAGGAGTCCGACCCAATTTCGGCACAGAGGGCACAAAAGCCCCTCGAGGGTTCAATTTGTGATCGAGGGATTTTTTATCCCCTCGACATCAGAACCTACCCACGCTCTCAATCTTGCCTAACGGCAGCAAGCAAGTCACCTAAGCTTAGAAACTACTAGTTAGGGCCCGTTCAAACCTCATTGACAGGCAACTTTAGCTGGTTTACTATCGTATCCTGCTGTTCACGAAAAATCGCGATGCAGGAATGGCGTTTTTTTACAACTTGGCGTTTTACACCCCTGCTCCCTCTAAAGGGCGGGTCAGACTGGCCCGACCCGACTCGACCCGTGACCGGGTCCAAGCTGACCCGAGTGTGCAGGCCCGGGTCGGGCCAGAACTTTCAGGAACCTGGCCCGAGCCTGGCCCGACCCAACCCGACCCGGGAGCCCGTGTAGCCTGGCCAGGTCGGGTCGGGTCGGGTCGGGTCGGGTCGGGTCGGGTCGGGTCGGGTCGGGTCGGGTCGGGTCGGGTCGGGTCGGGTCGGGTCGGGTCGGGCCCGACTCGTACTGCTGGAGGGGGGGAGGGGGAGGGGAGGGATGGGTGTAGGTCAAAGCAGGGAAACATGGGGTGGGGGGGTTAGAGGAGGGGTGCATCATACACCCGCCACCGAATGTTCTTCTCATCGTACTGCTGCCGAAAGGGGTTTGAGGGGAGGGAGGGCATCACCGCAGGTAGAGGGGATTTGGGGCAGAGAGGGGAGATGGCGGGACAAAGCGGAGGGGTGCATCGTACACCCGCCACCGAATGTTCTTCTCATCGTACTGCTGCCGGAGGGGCGAGGGGAGGGGGGTGTAGTGGGAGGGGCGTGGTGGGAGAGGGCTGGAGGGGTCATACACCTGCCGCTGAATGCTCTCCCAGTCGGCTGAGAGGGAGGGATAGCGGCAGAGAGAGGGAGCAGCAGCAACAGCAACAAGTGGCAGCAGCATCGGCACCAGGAGGAGCTGGTGAGAGGGGAATAGTTGGGATCAGCAGCAAGAGGGTAGCTTCAGAGGGTAAATGAGTAGTTTGGGAGGGTGGGAGAGTAGTTTGGAACGGTAAGAGAGAAGTTTGAAATGTCAGGAGAGGAGCTTGAAAGGGAAGAGGGTGGCTTGAGAGGGTAAGAGAGTAGGTTGAGAGGGTAAGAGAGTAGGTTGAGAGGGTAAGAGAGTGGCCTGACAGGGTAGAAGCCTAGAGAGGGTGAGAGGGTACCTGGTCTTGCGGCAGGCTGGCAGTGCCTTGCAGCCCTGTGAACTCTGCCACGAGCTCGTCTGCTACCTGTAGGGCATGCATTGGTACGGTGCAGGGCAAAAGCACAAGGGGTCTGACACACACACACACGTGCACGATGTCGACTTTTGGAAAGTAAAAAAGGAGGAAACATCGCAAGTCCACACGAACAAAAGCACACATGAACAGAGTCACAATTGAACTGGTCCATTTAGCAGAGCGTGGATAAGAGACGGGATGTGGCCTGCTGTGCTCTCACACACCACACGGCACACACATACTTCATTGTATGTTGTGCGCCCTTTGGATTCCACCTCCCATGAGGCACCTAAAAGATGTGCTCTCCCACACCGCATGGCACACACGTACCTCATTGTACGTGGTGCGCCCTTTAGATTCCACCTTCTCACACACTGCCATGCACGAAAAGGAGGGGGAAGAAGGAGCGAGTGATGCTTGTGCCACTTCAGATATATTCTCGAAAGGGGCCCCACATTCTCAGACACGCCGTGCAAGAGGGAAGGGAGGCAGGGAGAAGATGCACGGGCACGCAGGGGAAGTGAAGGACGCACATGCACGCATCCTCTGCTTTCCTTTCCACGAGTGGTAGGATCGGCAACAGAGCGACACAGCCTTTACTGTTCTCCTTCCTCCTCTCACCTTTCATGCTGAAATGCCTGAGCCCCTTGCCTCTGTCTGCTGCCCGGGGCAGTCGCCGCTTGCGCTTGCTGCTCCCACAGAGGCAGCAGCAGCGGCGGCAGCAGGAGCAGCAGCAGGAGCAGCAGCAGCAGGAGCAGCAGCAGGAGCAGCAGCAGGAGCAGCAGCAGGAGCAGCAGCAGGAGCAGCAGCAGCACGGGAGAGCGTGAAACAGGACGACAAAAGCAGGAGGAAGCAAAAGGTGGGCAGGTGGAAGCAAATCAGCAGAACAAGCAAGTAAAGAAGCAAGACAACTCTTGGAAGCAAGTGTTTTAGCAGCCCAGGCAGCATGGCCGTTAGTGCAGAGTACAGGCAGAGAGTGCACTGGGACTGCAGGGCAGGCAGGGCAGCATGGCATCTCATTGGGGCCCAAGGAGTCAGCTGCAGCTACATCCGCCCAACACTTGTTCCCCGATAGCATCATCAACCCCACCACCCCCGCCTTCATCCCCATCCCCATCCCCATTCCCACGCCCATCCCCTGTCCCTTAAGCGCTTAAGCAGGCACATTCAGCTCAGGGATAGAGAGGGACAGCAGAGGGACAGCAGAGGGACAGCAGAGGGACAGCAGAGGGACAGCCGGCAAGAACAGCCACTCACGCGTCATTTGGGGTCCAAGGGGTCAGCTGCAGCCCCATCCGGCCCATACTCGTCCCCTGGTAGCATCCCATCCCCACCCCCACCCCCACACCCACCTACACCCCCATCCCCACCCCCATCCCCACCCCCATAATCATCCCCAGTCAACCAAGCGCTTAAGCAGGCAGCGACAGCAGAGGGACAGCACGGCCACTCACGCATCATTGGGGTCCAAGGAATCAGTTGCAGCGCCATCCGCCCCATACTCGTCCCCAAGTAGCATGCCCATCCCCATAGATACCCCCGCCCCCATCCCCATCCCCAGTCCCGACGCCCCACTTGCTGCTCCCCCCGCTCCTCCCCCTCCGCCCGCGCCCCCCCCAACCCCTCCGCCCCCCCCGCCCCCCCCTGCAGCAGCGGGGGCAGAGCCTCCCAGGCGCCCACGGTCAGTGGAGTCCCCACTCTCCACTGACCGCGCCCCTGCTCCCCCTCCCCCTGCGCCCCCAGCTCCTGGGCCTGCCACTCCCCCTCCTAGAGAGGTCTCCGCCCACCCCCCTGCTGCTCCCTGCTGCCCCTGCTGCTGTTGCGACTGCAGAGCAGATGGTATTGGCTTGGGGGGAGGGGAGACTGCAGAAGCGAGGCGGTCGTGGGGGAGAAGGTTGGGTGGGGTTGGGGGAACAGAGGGGGGAGGAGAAGAAGGGAATCTCTGACAGTGCGGTTCTCTGCTGCCCCCAGCTTTTGAGGCGCCTCAAAAATGGTTGGTGGTACAGAGAGGGGAAGAGAACAATGCGGTTCTCTTCTGCTGCCCCTGCTGCTGCTGTGACTGCACAGCAAATAGAATTGGTTTTAGGGGCAGTGAGACTGAAGGGGGTGGGGGGGAGAAGAGGAAGGGGAGGGTGAAGGTAGGGTTGGTAGGGACGAGACTTTCAGAGAGGGTTATCTGCTCCCAATGGGATCAGGGTATTCGCTCCGTCCGTCAGTCCCTCGCTCCCTCCCTCGCCTCGCTCCCTCCCTCGCCTCGCTCCCTCCCTCGCCTCGCTCCCTCCCTCGCCTCGCTCCCTCCCTCGCCTCGCTCCCTCCCTCGCCTCGCTCCCTCCCTCGCCTCGCTCCCTCCCTCCCTCTCCCTCTCCCTCCCTCCCTCTCCCTCTCCCTCCTCCCTCCCTCCCTCCCTCCCTCCCTCCCTCCCTCCCTCCCTCCCTCCCTCCTCCCTCTCCCTCCCTCCCTCCCTCCCTCCCTCCCTCCCTCCCTCTCCCTCTCCCTCCCTCCCTCCCTCCCTCCCTCCCTCCCTCCCTCTCCCTCTCCCTCCCTCCCTCTCCCTCTCCCTCCCTCCCTCCCTCCCTCCCTCCCTCTCCCTCTCCCTCTCCCTCTCCCTCTCCCTCTCCCTCCCTCCCTCCCCCTCTCTCCCTCTCCCTCTCCCTCCCTCCCTCCCTCCCTCCCTCCCTCCCTCCCTCCCTCCCTCCCTCCCTCCCTCCCTCCCTCCCTCCCTCCCTCCCTCCCTCCCTCCCTCCCTCCCTCCCTCCCTCCCTCCCTCCCTCCCTCCCTCCCTCCCTCCCTCCCTCCCTCCCTCCCTCCCTCCCTCCCTCCCTCCCTCCCTCCCTCCCTCCCTCCCTCCCTCCCTCCCTCCCTCCCTCCCTCCCTCCCTCCCTCCCTCCCTACCTCCCTCCCTCCCTCCCTCCCTCCCTCCCTCCCTCCCTCCCTCCCTCCCTCCCTCCCTCCCTCCCTCCCTCCCTCCCTACCTCCCTCCCTCCCTCCCTCCCTCCCTCCCTCCCTCCCTCCCTCCCTCCCTCCCTCCCTCCCTCCCTCCCTCCCTCCCTCCCTCCCTCCCTCCCTCCCTCCCTCCCTCCCTCCCTCCCTCCCTCCCTCCCTCCCTCCCTCCCTCCCTCCCTCCCTCCTCCCTCCCTCCCTCCATCCCTCCCCCTCTACCCTCCCCCGCTTCCCTCCCCTCCTCCCCTCCCCTCTCCTCCATTCCTCCCTCACCAGGCGACGGCTTCGGCCCGTCCGCGTGGGCGGCAGCGGCAGCGGCGGGCCCGAGGTCATGGGCCAGATCCGGCACGCCCGTCTCCGCCGCTCCTCCCTCCCCCCTTCCCTCCCCCCTTTCCTCTCTCACCAGGCGACGGTTTCGGGCGGCAGCAGCGGAGGCGGGGATGATCCCGAGGTCGTGCGCCAGATCGACACGCCCGCCACCGCCCCTCCTCCCCCATCCCCCCTTCCCTTCTCACCAGGCGACGGTTTCGGCCCATCCGCGTGGGCGGAGGCGGGAATAATCCCGAGGTCGTGCGCCAGATCCAGCACGCCCGTCTCCGCGAAGTCCGACAGCAGCGCGTGGGGAACGCTCAGCGCGCCCTGCGGGGAGCCCTGCGCCTGCGCCTGCGCGTGCGGTTGCGGAGCATCTCTGTGCGCGGCGGTGGATTCGGGAGCAACGGACGCCGCGACGTTCGCCCCGCGCGCGTCTGTAGCGGGCTCGCCCCCGCCACTGCCGGGTCTTGTCGCGCGAGCGTCTGTAGCGGCGGACGGCACAGGGCTCGTCGCACGATCGTCCGCGGCGGAAGGAGCCGACGCGGCGTCATTCCGCGCGCCGCCAGCCGGTTCCAGATCCGAAGTTGCGGGTTTCGCGGCGCCTCCTCCTTCGGATACGGCGGGTGGAATTTGTTGCTGCTGTAGGTGCTGTGGCTTCAAATCCATTTCACTTAAATGAGGGAAAAATACCGTCAAGTCAAGTTGCGGACCGCCAATAGCGCTGCTGCATTTGAAGTATTACGCTAGTATTACTGGGAAGTATGCTCGATAAGTACTCCCAGCGAATGGCGTGCGAGCCTGAACAAGGGGGCTCGTCCAGGCCTTTTGAGGCTTTCTCCAGGCACTGAATCTGACAGGCTAATCCACCAATCACGTGCGGGTGCGATGGCAGAGGTGCTCCAAACGAAATTTCAGGGCGGGTCCAGCGCGATCGTTTTCAGTACATCCATCGTGGCGGAAGACGATTCCAGACGGTGCACAGCGGTTCACTTCCTTCACCGATTCGCACCGTGACATAACAAGAGTAACCGCATAGAACGAACAAAGGACGAACGCACTGGCCGGACCCACCTTCAGACAGTCAAGATGGGTAACGTCGCCGGGCAGGTGTAAACGTTTGCAATCACAATTCAGTGGTTCATTCTGGTACAGTAGCACTAGAACTGGAGTGCCCAGAAATACCGAAACGCGGAATCGCACAAAAGACAGTGTGAGGCGAGGATGCGAATGAAAAGTTGATGATAGACCCCGTTGCCCTCAAAGCCAGTGTTTGCAATGGGCTGGGACGCGGTTCTGTGCGTTGGAAATAACTAAATGGGGCAATTCTAAACCTTTGAACCTCGAGATTGGGGAGTGGTACCCCTGCGCGCCCAAGCATATCCCTATGCCCCTCCAAGGTTTCCAGGCTGTACGTTCCTTGTACGTTTCCAGGTCGTTCGTCCTTCACCATCCCTTTGCATGCGGGGCAAAATAGCACAGCTACAAAATCGCTTTGGACCGTGTGAAACTGACCTGAACCACAAAGAATGATCCCCAAATGTATGACCAGACACGAAGGGCTTTTTTGAACATTCGAGTTGCAAAAGCTCGGCGCTCTGAAGCAGGAGAAACAAGACAGCAGTGAGACAGGAAGCAAGAGAAGAGCCACAAGACAGAAAAGAACTGCCATGACATTAGTTTCTGGCGTTCCTCCAGTCAAGGAAAAGTAGGCGGCAAATGCTGAGGAAAAACCACACAGTCCCGTCTCTAATGGTTCTGTAGTCCCGACGGTGATCGTCTTCCCTCGTTGTTAGGCTGTTTCCTAGGTCTCCTGCCTGGCACCACTTATTCCAACTTTGGTGCTTTCGTCGCACAGCGACCGCTAACGTCGCACACCAAGCACAAACGTCGCGCGCATACGGCCTCCGCTATGGCGCGCGGGATTTTCATCTGAAAGCACCCAGCGGCATTACCGCCGCTCGCCGCTTTCCCTCAGTTTCACGGAACGCGCACCAGACTTTGCTCAAACGGATTGTAACGGCTGTGTTTATCCCACAAACCACGTTCCTTTCCTGCTTGATCTAATATCGACCCGGCGCCTGTATGGGGAAAAGGCGAGCGAAGCGGTTGTTGGAGTCGTACGAGGCGAACGGCAAGCGACTCGAACGTATGTGCTGCGGTCGCCCTCTCTCCTACCATTTCACCTTCTCTCCATGACTTGTACTAGTATGCTACCCGTGCTCTTTCCCCACGCTGTCGCTTTTCCTGAAGTCCTCCCCTGCCAGCCGTTCTGATTATCGTAACTCTTTCCTGACGCCCGAATAATGCTGTATTCCCACGATTTCGCGCTCGAATCCTCTACAAAAAATGTCCGAAGGACATATTTCAGTGAATGTACTTCCTCCAGAGTAATAGATTTTGAAAATATTTTCTTCTGAACAAATTTGCCTTTGAGATATGCCTTAAAAGAGTTATCTTATGAAGGAGAACCCTCCACATACACATCAGTCGCTCCATCCAACCATTACTGGGTACCACCCCTCTCCCATCCCCTTTCAGCTGGAGTTTGCGTCATGCTGCGGCCACCCAGCCCCAAGACCCCCTCATACATTGCGCGAATTGAGAAAATCGAATCTGATGCTGCGGGTCGAGTCAAGATGTGGTGCCGCTGGTACTACCGCCCAGAAGAGTCTATAGGTGGGCGTCGGTGCTTCCATGGAGTTAAAGAGCTGTTTCTGTCTGATCACTATGATGGCTGCTATCCAGAGGCGGTGGAAGGCGTGTGTTCTGTGCACAACCTGAAGGATTACGCTTACTTGGACGTGGTTGAGGAGGAGGACTTCTTCTGCCGGTTCGAGTACAATGCGTCAACAGGAATGTTCGCGCCAGATACGGTTGCAGTGTGAGTGGTGAGGATTCTACTTCACAGCAACAAGCAACGTTGTGCGTCGGTGAATTCCGGTTTGCATGCACATTAGCACGAGAGAATGAATGTGATTGCAGGGAAAGAAATTTGTCTCTGTAGATGGCCGCATGATGAAGTCTGTGTCATAGGATGAGTGGAGTGAGCAGCTGGGTGTATCGGAACCCCCATGCTTTTGCCACCATACCGCAGGTACTGCAAGTGCGAGATGCCATACAACCCCGACAGTCTTATGGTTCAGTGCGAAGACTGCAAAGACTGGTGAGGATGACCATGAAGCAATGCCTTCTTTTCCTGCTTCTCCTTTTGTGCCTTTGACTGTCTAGTTACTAATGCGCCTTTGCCACCTCTCCTTTATGTCTGCACACCAGCCTGCTGTTCAATTTGCACAGTTTGAACGACCGCCCCTTATTCCCCCATCTCGTCCATTATCCCCACCTCAATTCCCTTCACATGCAGTTCCATGCTGTTTGTTATGTTGCTAGAAATCGCAGCTTGTTGGCAGCTTCCGACAGCCCCTTTCTCATGCATCGTCAAATGAGAACGTCAATTTGCATTATATTATGCTTTTCAGGTTCCATCCAGAATGCGTCAACTTGCCCAAGCCGTGGAGTGGAGTCCATGAAAGACTTTATTTGCCCTGACTGTAGCCCTGACATGGAATGCATGTAAGCATTCTGCCGCCTTATGTATCTATATGGTAATTTTTAAACACACGAAGTGTTTTTCAAAATTACGTATTTCGAAAGCGCAGCTGCCTGTAACGCAGATTTGGCATCGTCGAAGCGCGCTAAACGCCCTTCTCCAACTACAAAACGTGGGTTGGAGCTCATTTCCCTCCACCCACGTCTCTCATTTTCCAACGGCTCATGCAACTCTCAGTTCCTCGAGCTCATTTCTAGTTTTCCGTTCAAGCTGGCTAGAACTCGCTCTCTACCGAGAGGCGTTTCACCTTCAACTTTATTAGCTGACATTCTCAACCACAACCGCTCGACTATGGCTGCTACGCCGACACTTAACCGCACGAACAACACCGTCGTCAACGACTCGAATATTTCCGACACCGATCGTAACGCCCGGGAAATGTCGGGCGAGCGCCGCAACAAGCGCCGGGCAGACGGCGAAACGTCCGCCCCAACAGCTGTCGACGTGCTGCTGGGCGGGCTCGAGGTCAACAAAAACGCCGAGCGGCACCAGCAGCACCCTTCGGCGCCTGTGACGCCTGTGGCGCCTGTTGCGCCAGTGGCACCCGTGGCACCAGTGGCGAACCTGGCGCCACACGCGACTGACGCGGAGCACGCGCCTGAGGCACACGCGCCCCACAGGCAGTCGCGTCAGCGCCAGAGGCGCCGTACGGCCGCCTCGTCTGATGCGACCGTTGACCCGGACTTGACCCAGGCGTTGACCCCGGACCAAGTCAAGGCGCTCCTGTCCCTGTTACAGCATCGACCCGCCAGCGCAATTGAAGCCGAAACTACACAACCGGCGGCATCAATTTCGGCTAAAAACGAAAATTCGAAAAAGGAGAAGGGAGCGAAAGGAGCATCAACACGCCGCCACAACAAGGAGGTAGCTACCAGCGTTCCCGAAGCCGCAGCCGAGGACCACGACTCCGACGACTCTGACGTCGACGCTGGTGAGGCTCCGATCAACGCAGCAAATGTCACATCCATGGAAAATCTCCCCCCCCTTCCTTCCACCACCCCCACATTTTCGGCGGCAAACTTCATGAAGGCGTTCGTGCGCGCGAAGGCGGAGCCCCTGGAGGACGTGAGGGCCTACCTGAAACACGCGGAGTACAAGCTGCAGCACGACGACACGGCGGGCGGACTCGAAATGGTCATGAACGCCCTCGACTACATTTCGGAGCGTTTTGTGATGTTTCAAGTCGAGGACCACACCGACGACCGCGTGGCAAAGCGATTCAAGCTCTACCAACAGAAGAGTCTCCTGACTTCCCGCCAGTTCAAGCAGGCGGTAGCTGATGTGGCGGCTATGGATCGCGCGGAGGGCGCGTACGCTCGTTCCTACCGCGTTGGAGGCCATGGGCCGACGGCATACACCCCAAAGCGTGGACCGCCGCCCACGGGTGGCTTCCATGGCTTCCGTGGAGCGTGCTTCCGTTGTGGCCAGCCGGGTCACGTGGCAAGCGGCTGCCCGAGGAACGGGAACGGTGGCCAAGGTCCCGCACCCGTGGTGTAGAGGCGGGCCTTGAGCGGTTGCGCCTTGTGCGCGTGGCACGGTGCACGTCATGTGCAAAATCCGTGGGCAACCCAAAGGGGTTAGCGATGGCGGTTGGCCAGCCCTAGTTAGGGGTGATTGATAGGCTAGAGGCCTAGGATGCGGGGGAGGGAATTACAAACCTCTTGGCCCTTAGTATTAGCCCATGCGGTAGGGGCAAAGGCATGCTAGGAGCATGGCAATGTATGGCCCGTTTCATATAAAGGCGGACTTATTAAAGGAGCGATTTCTGATTTTGGCTCATGATGAAAAAAAAAAAAAAAAAAAAAGGGAGAGAGAGTGAGAGCGAGAAGAAGACGAAGGAGAAGAAGAAGAGAGAAGGAGAGAAAGGGAGATGGAGGCAAAAAAAAAAAAAAAAAAAAAAAAAGGGGGGCGAAGATATGTACCGTACGACCCCTATCAATGGCCGTTGCACTCATCGAAAAGGCAGCCATTGCCTTGGGTGAGCAAGAGTGAGAACAAAAGAGAGGGTGGGTGTGTGTATGCGAGAATGAAGAGAGGCAGAGAGAGAGAGAGGGAGAGAGAGAGGACACGAGAGAGTTCCTTCCCTCTCCTCCCGTTGTGGCCACGTGACCACGCGGAAAGACTCACACCCGCACCTTGGTTGGTGGATTGAAAAAAAAAAAAAAAAAAAAAAAAAAAAAAAAAAAAAAAAAACCCCGTACAATGCGGATGCTAGGGGTGACAAATGGTATTCGAATGGGTCAACAAGCACGCATTCATCACATGCACCGCCATTTCACGCACGAATGCTGGAAATCATATCCATAGGAACCTCATTTCGCATTCCCGCTCCATTGTCATTCCGCAAACATGCAGCGGCAATACGCCATGAGGTGTTCGACGACGACGATCCGTACGAATTCGCCGTCACAGACAAGACCGTCACGCAAATGCGCGAGCGGCTTCGCGCAACCCTCGCATGGTGGGGCTCGTGGTGCCCAAGTAGCCTCATTCTCTCGGTCATCGCCAACGGCTACTGGCTACCATAGAGCCACAACCCCCCACAACCATTTCACGAGCGCAACCATCTCGGCGCGCACACACACGCGGCATTCACACGCACTGCCATTCGCGAACTGACAGATACCGGAGCGGCGGTAGCTACCCCGGCAGCGGAACTAACATGCATCAGCCCACTCAACGTGGTTGAGCAACGTGACAAATGCAGGCTTATTCTCGACCTCCGGAAAGTGAACGCGCAACTAATCATCCCCAAATTCAAATACGAAGGGCTAAGCCGCGTTGCCGACCTGGCACGCACAGGCGACTGGATGTTCTCCATCGACCTCAAATCCGGATACCATCACATCGACATACACCACTCATGCTGGACATTCCTCGGCTTCGAATTTGAGGGGAGCACGTACTCTTTCCGCTCATTGCCCTTCGGCCTCGCGACAGCACCATTTGTCTTCACACAACTCATCAAACAACTAGCCAGGCGCTGGCGCGAACAAGGCATCCGAGTTGTACCCTATGTGGACGACATCCTGTTTTTATGCAAGTCCAAGGCACATGCACAAGCAACGTGCCAGATGATAATCTCGGACCTCAAGATGGCGGGCCTGGTAATCAACGCGAAAAAGTCGCAGCTGTCACCGTCACAACACCTGCGATTCTTGGGCGTCGAGCTGGATACCAACTCCGGACAATTCTCTGTTGAAATGTATACATAATTCTGACATTCTCCATTGGCACCGATCGACGAGCATCACTTCATGCACACATTCTCAATCTCCTGGGCGCAAGCAAAGCACATCGACAGGTCCCAGTCCGCCACCTGGCTAGAATCACTGGCACGCTCGCGTCAATGGCTGTCGCGCTAGGTGCCACGGCGCGCGCATTCAGCCACGCCATGTTACAAGCGATCAACGACGCGCCATCCTGGGGAAGCAGCGTAAGCATTTCCCCGTCTGTGGCCGAGGAGCTGCAATTCTGGCTTGAGGAGTTCGACAGATTCAACGGCGCATCATTCCACGTCCGGAACAGTTACGACGCCGTAATCCACGTGGACGCCAGTTCCCACAGTTGGGGTGCCACTCTGCTCACCTTCCCTGGCGAACTCGAAGAAGCCAGTGCAGCCATGCCAGAACCATTGCACGCAACGTCCAGCACCCGACGGGAAATCGAAGGTGTCCTATGGGCCCTCCAAACGTACGCAAACAAGGTCCGACGGAAACACGTGCTCGTAAGGGTGGGCTACCAAGGGGTCTTCTTCATCCTTCGCAAAGGCGGTTCCCGCACCCCCGACCTGACCAACGCTTGCAAGGACATCATTCGCACCTGCATGGAGCTCGGCACTCCACTAATTGTCGAATGGATCCCGCGTGAGCTTAACTCCCATGCCGACGAGCTGTTGAAACTGATCGACCATGACGATTACTCACTGAAGCAACCATGGTTCCGAATCTGTGATCGCCGCTGGGGAACCCACTCCATCGATCTCTTCGCGAACCATCGCAACTCGCATCTGCCACGATTCTGCTCAAAGATCCCTCACCCAGAGGCTACTGCGGTTGATGCATTCTCATGCTCATGGACAGCCGAGAATGGCTTCGCGTTCCCACCACCCCAGCTGATCCCAGCAGTCATCCACCACGCACAACGCAACCACGCATCACTCACCCTAATTGCCCCACACTGGACGGGGGCAAACTGGTGGCCACTCTTACAACCCTCCCCACCAAACGGGGCCCCGCACATCAGAGCGCACATTCCCCTGACGCACGGCAGCCAATGTCTAGCAGTAGGAACGCACCGCACTGCATTCTCAGGCACAGGACTGCCTCATAGCACAATCATTGCACTACGAGTGGTCTTCAACTAACCCGCCCATACGCCTGTGCGCAGACGTGTTGCCGAAGCTACAAGTCCAGCTTCTAAAGATGCTCTCCCAGTCTCGGGCCGATTCAACAATCCGAACATATGAGCCATACTGGGTCAAGTTTCGAGCCTTTTGTGCAAAGGTGAACCTCCCATTCCTCCCCACGGCGGACATGACCCTCGCGCTGTACCTG